TCGGGAGTCGCTATAATTATGGACATGCCGGTCTCGCGCCTTAGCCGCCGCCGCCGCTGTCATCCGCGGACACCCCGTCCGGCTTTACCTCGCCGGCGTTTCATTTAAACTACCCTCGACGGCGATAGCGATGGCGACGGCGATGCCAGTGGCGGCTTCGTCGGGAACAAATTTGCTCCCGTATATTGCTGTACTTATCTACTCTCGTACCCGGGCGGGCCCGGTAATCCCGGATAATAGCCTGCGAGTGTACAACGAGCGCCCGCGCTTATAAGAAACACCTGGATAAAAGTCCCGCCTGGTTTTCTTTTTTCTCCCTTCTCCCCCCCCCCCTTCCGCTCTCTCTTTCTCTCTCTTTCTCTCTCTCTCTCTCTCTCGCTCTTTCTCCGCGTCTGTCCGTTTCTCTCTCCTTCTTTCTCTTTCTTCACGGTGTTCGCCGTTAGAGCGGAAATTCCTGTTCGCCTGCACTTGGACGTGGTATTGGCGAAGTTCGATTGCGCAATTGAAGCTTTTTACGGCTTTACGTGTCGCGATTCTCTACAGCGTCTAATTGCGGACAACGTATTGGCGTGACGCCGCCCTTTCGCGATACCTTACATAGAGCGCACTCCGCTCTTTCTCTCTCTCTCTCTCTATCTCTCTTTCTCTCTCTCTCTCGTCTGATAAGATCCTTTGATCAATTCGAAGTCAATTTTTAATCAGCGACGGTTTGATTGGACTCTCTATCCTCGGTTTTATAAAAATCTTTCTAATTAAAATACGAATTTAAATTCCATTGAATTAAAGTCCATTTCGGGTTGAATTGGGAATTAAGCTCGCTTAGCTATTTCCGCCTCGTGCTAATCTAATATTTGTGTAACTTACATAAATTATTCATTCATAGATAACAAATTTACAGGGTTATTCAGATTTACAAATGATGTGTTTGATTTAACGAAATGCATTCAGTCAACGAAGCCTTCTGTTCCGCGAAGACTGCTATTTTTTTTAATAAACGGACACATCCGCTTCAATATGTTAATATAGTATTCAATTAACATATCCTGCGACTTCGCGTCACATTTGTAATGCTAAGAAATCATCTTAACAGAAGGAAGCGCGAAACATTATTTCTAAACGATCCTACAGCAGGGAAAGCCCGAAAGCTCAAGCTCCCTTTGAAGCAGTTCAGCAAGATGTCTTTCTCGTAATTAATTGAAACCGCAATATTTGCGCGTCTATATGAGTTTTCATAAAAAGGTAACTCGAGATAATTTATGGCGATGGGACAAATATGCACGCGCAAATGGGTTTTATCAAGCTCGTTTTCCGGTTGCTCGCGGCGCTTGAGAGGAGGAAGACGACGCCTCGCGCCGTCTTCGTCCCTTCCCCGTCCGCGGGACGGAGGCGAGGCACCTTGAAACTTTTTACCGCGACCTCGACATCACCACCCGCGCGCGGTTCACGGAAACGACGTTGGGGCGACCCCGTGACGCAATAACGAAGCACTTCCGCTTATCCCGAGGCGCGCTTAAAGAGAAAGGGTTCCCGACGTCTCGGGCCGGCCGATGCCGTGGCCGGGGCGCTACCGCGACGGGGTCGCGTGAAATTTTAATTTCCAATCTGCTAAAATTGTTTCCGCGAAAACGGCACGACAGGGGGCACCGACAGCCCGCTTGGAATTCCTTGCTTCCTTGCAGACACAGACGCGCGAGCGAGCACACATCGATCGGCCGTCGCGGCCCAGGGCGCTGCATGGCTGGTGGCGCGCGGTAAGAAAAGCCCTCGCCGTAAACCCGTTTTCCGTGCGTTTTCGCCGGCCGCGCGCCTGGAAGCCCGAGCCCTGAAAAATTTACAGAACGCCCGCCCTCGCGAGCCGAGACGCTCAAAGACCGCGGGAATTTACTGCGTTCCCTCCAGCTATGAGAGCGACAGCTATTTTCCTGCGTCGCGCACCTGCCGCCGCACGGCGATCCGCACTACGGGAGGCCTCCGTGCGCGGAATTCCGCGACGTCGCGAGACCCGAGGGGGAAACACTCGCGGAATGTCATTTCGCGCATCTGCAGATATCAATGGCCGCGTTCAGCAGAAAAAGCTGCTTGCAACTGCTGTAAAAATCCTGCACCGAAAAGAAAAGAATGTTCGCTACCGCAGCTAATTGTGGTTTGCTAAAAATATTTTGCATAGCTATAAATTTCTAAATTGAGACGGGAAACTTATAGTCAACCCAACTGGCTAGTTAATTACTTTATTAGTTTACTACATAACGTTTAGACCCTACTTTTTGGGTCCTTTTCAAGTGGTGCTAAGTCAGTCATTGTCGTCGAAGAAAACAGAGTCGAATTGTAAAATATACGCATACGTGTGAGCACTGTGGTTGCTCGAACTGGGCTTGAATTAATTAGCTGTAGGTCTTAATCGGGCGTTTCCGTAATATATAGATCTAATTAGGCTGGATGATCGGTTAATGGGTGGAGAAGACACTGACTCTAAGGTATAACGAATTAATTTAAGTACCACTTTACACTGTCGGATACTCTCGGCGCACGTTTAATCGACATAAATTTCTAAACCACAGCAAACGGTTTGCTGTCACACCTAATGCAATAGGCACGGTAGCAAGATCTTTTAGCTGTCCACATTTTACAGCTGAAATTCAGTTGTCGCGTGCAGATTTTAGCTACGGCAATTACGTTTATCCTTCCGTGTGAATCTGATTGGCGTGTGCTCTTAATTACGGCAGAATCTAAGAGCGTACTCCGATCAAATGTACGAATTTTGCAACTGTTGCAAAGCGGCTTTTTCTGCTTAACGCAGCCATTGATGAGCGGCGTCTCCCGTTTATTTGTTGCGCGTCTTATTTGTGAAACATGCGTCATCGGCTGTGGAGGAATCGCGAGAGAAAAGACGGACCCCGGCGCAAAATATTAATATCCCGACGCAGGTTCCGCAGGAACGTAATACTTGCGGTTATTGACGGCTCAGAGCCGGGTCCTCTGAGATCTCGTAAAAAGCATATATTAAAGCAGTAGCACGTAGGCGAGCTTTGAGGATAAGGAAGCCAGTGCAAAGGCACGAAGGCGCCGAGGCAAAAATTACGTGTATCTCCGAAACATCAGAACCTGACGTTTCTCCGTCCTGCATCTGGCAACATTGACGAGAAGGCTGCACTTTATGGGGAGAGGAGGTAGACGCGCGTGGAATTTACGAAAACTCGCGCAGAGGGAGGAACGTTTTACGGGTCTCGCGAGGAACAATTCCAAATTTCGTTAAAGCTGCAACAGTTTACCCCCCCAGGCGGGTTCCGCCGTGCTGCCGCGGGACACCGCGGGGTGTAACGTACTCTCGGCTTTTACAACGGAGAAGCGATTATCGCAATTAGCGGATTAAAGTACTCGGTGAATTGAATTTTTCACCCCGGCGACAAACTGCGGCGCGCTTCTTGTTCTCCAGACAGGACGAGGAAGACCCGCGTCGTCGTCGTCGTGACGCTCATCGTCACGCGCGATTGTCGGGGCTGCAATTTCCCGTACGCAAGCCCCTAATTTGATATTGTGTATCCACGTCGAGAGAGAAACTGGGGAACAGATGCGAGCAGAAATAGCCCGCTCGATCCCGGAAACGAGTTGCGTGCTTATTAAATTGAAGCTGCGAAGCCGTGCGCGCGCGCGCCCTCGCGCCCTCGCGCCCTCGCGCCCTCGCGCCGTCGACGTAACTCCTTCACGGGGGAGCGCTAGGTCTTCCGACGTGAAAGAGTTAACTGCATCGCCTCCTCGCAGTGCGACTCGGCGGGAGTTTCCCTCGTTTCGCCTCTCCGGCGAGGGAAGCCTCTCCCGACTCTGGCAACTTATCGGCGAGGCCGGCGCCTCGGCGCAAAATAAAATCGCACGGGTAAAAGTTGGCCGTTTCGAGCTTTCTCTAGCTCGTGCCAAAAAGTTGCCCGCGCCCATATTTCCGTATTATTTCGTCGGGCTCGACACCGAATTCGAATCTTTCCTCGCTGCACCGGTATTGGAAACGGGCGCTTCCCTCCGTATTTTATTGCCGAGATTGTGCATCGATGCTGCTTTGCGTGCGACTAAGACGGCCCGCGACGCGCTGCGTCGGTCGGCGATGAGCATCGATGATGCTGAAGAAGTAATCGAATTAGCGCATTAATCGAATCACAGCGTCACGTTCCCGCGCCGTAACTGTGTAACTTCGTCGGGCCAAGAGAACGTTGTTTATTAACGTACGTACTCTCGGTGCGATCCAGTCCGTAACGTAATTACCTCACATCGAGGACACCGACGGGGAAGACGCAGCAATAAACATCTAGCGAGATAAAAGGATAAGGATAAAAGAAACGGGGGCGAAGATAAATTCTCGCGATAAAAGCACAAGAGAACTCGGCACGCCAAGTTTTAATGACGTTCCCGAGTAATATAAAATACTTTTATACTCATTATCAGGAGAGAGCAATATAGAAAACGCGAATTATCGAGGCGAGGGAACTTTCCTTGTCCCGGAAACTTTGATCGAACGCGCGGGCGACAGATAAGTTTTCGGAAATGAGAATTGCGTGCGGCATCTCTGAATTTCGCCTCAACAAATCTGATCCTTTCGGCGGCCCGAGCGCGTTCGAAATGTGCAACAAAACGTGCAAGAAAAATGCACGGTTTTTCCGTTTCTGTGCGCATACTAGAATTAGTATATTTTAGTAAATTTTTCTGTACACTACTAAAGTCTCTTTGATCAAACTGTCATCATTACTGCTTGCTTTGTTGTGCTTAATTTGCCATTTTGTACTATAGCTGTCTTCTTCTTTGTCGCACAACTACACGGAGAGAATTGTATCTTTTACGCTCTGGAAACTACGATGCTAAATCATCAATTTATTTTTGGCTAACAAATGTCTCTTTACTCCGATTTCCATTTGAGAAAGAATTTAGAATGCGATGCAGTAAATTGTATTCTACTTTCTTGAGCAGCTTTTAAAGTCATTAATATTAAATTATTATTTTTCTCGCGAAAAACTCACCTTTATCTGCACCTCGTCCTTATCAGGACCCAGAGATCGATCGGGTCTCGGCACCGATAAACTCCTGTATTCCTCGATGGTGTACGGACGATACGTCGGTCCCTTCAACTTGCTGTCCGATACGCTACGTTCGCGCTGCGGTCTCGGGGAGACGGTATTTGGAAGTGTTCCCCGACGCAATAACTCGCAGGAGCGTCCAGTGCGCGTCACATGAGTGGCGTGACCTTCGACAAAGCGACGATAGAAGCTAAGCTCGCTGCTGTCGTCCCTCGGGGTACCCGGAAGGGACGAGCGACCCTCATCCGGGCTGAGCTCGTCGAGTCGACTGTCGCCACAAATCGACAGGGCGGAGCCCTTCGGGGACTGGATACGCGGGTACCACGGGACGTCTGGAAACAAAGAAGAAAGAACGTAGCGACCCTAACTTCCCGTCGGCGGCGCAAAATTAGCCCTGACGACCGTGAGGGGAGAACAATTGTCGCTTGTCATCGCGCGGGTACGGGGCCCGCGTGCACACCAGGTGCCTTAATTAGTTTAACCATGGACTACCGCCTATTGGCGAAGTCAAGGGAACGAATTCCGCGCAGAAAGGAAAAGTGACGTAAAAAGTGGCGGACAGCGACGTGAAAAATGACGCTGTCGACTTCTCGAGGCAACGGCGGTTCTCCGTTGAAGAGAATGGAGCTTGAAAAGTTCGCGCGTCGTACTTCTATAGGATGACAGGATTTTTCGAAGCAAGGGGGCGAGATGCCGTCATACTTTTTTTTTTGTTTAGCTATTGTCTGGGAAATTCTCTCTCTCTCCTTAAAAAGGTATATCGAATTGGCAAAGTATTTTTATAATAAATATGACGATAGATTATCATTTCATTTTTTTTTGCTATTATCTGGAAAATTCTCCCTAAAAAGGTATATCGAATTGGCAAAGTATTTTTAAATATGACGATAAATTATAGTTTCATATTTTTTTTTGCTATTGTCTGGAAAATTTTCTCTCCTTAAAAAGGTATATCGAATTGGCAAAGTATTTTTAAATATAACGCTAAATTATCATTTCAGTTTTGACAAGTATTTACTCGAATTTACTTTTTTTTTAGAAAGAATTCTGAATCGCACAGTAAAGTTTATTTTAGTCTCCTGATGAATATATAATATCTTTTACGGTAATTAAAAAGTTTCTCTTTAAATAAAAAGGATCACGAAAATATTTTTTTACAATTATGGACCGCGTCGCCCTTTTCGTGCGTAAAATTAGTTCACCTTTATAATTAGGAGACGGGCCTACGCGTCGCAAAAGAAAAAAAAACGTAGACCGGTTAAAGCATTTCCGGCGAAAGTTTCAGATATTTTACAGGGGGCAGACGCTTAATCCCCTTTCGCAAAAATATAACTTTTTTCATCGTTGCAACTTTACTGCGCCGTAATATGTAGAAACTGTGGCAGCTACGCCTGCATCGCGCCGCGGTAAAATCTCCCTTCGCGCGGCGAGCATCTCGCAAAATAAAACTCTATGCCTTACAATAACAATGTTTGAATAAAACTCAAACGTATGATTTAATATTCCCAACTCCGCCGTGTCGGACACAATGTATGACGGTACTTTATCGGATAGTCGAAAAATTCCTCCATGCGACGAAGAAAAAAAATGTCTGACGAATTTACGCGAAACCCCTGTGAATTACGTAAAAAAGCTTCTCCTTCTCAAAAGATAGAGAGAGCGAGAGAGGAAGAGCGAAAGCGAGCGAGAGAGAAAGAGAGGGGGAGGGAGAGAGAGAGAGAGAGAGAGAGTGAGCACATTCACATTTATAATTCAATGTCAATAGCTCCCCTGAGCGGGAAATTAATTCAGTTAAAAAGCTTACTTTAATTTAAAAGTTCAGGGAGGAGAAACAGGCCATTTTTTGCGTTGTATTTGAAATGATAATTTTAACTTTTGTATTCATGAAAATTGGACTCTTAAATTGGTACATTTGTCGCCATGCTTTTCTCGTGCCGGATCAAAACGGGGGGGGGAGGGAGAAAACGTTGTAGATAACACGTAGCCGAGAATTCCGTGGCCGCTCGCGCTCTCGCAATTTAAAAATCTTGCCGTTTTAGGAAACGAAATGACAACGTCAAGCTATCCTACGAGATTCGTCCGCCGGATTGGGAATCTCATTGTCCCTTTCGCCCAATCTCTCTCACAACGCGGAACGCACCCCCGTTTCTAATCACGAAAGAAAGTAAACGTCCTCGGGGGGAAAATTGCATCGCCTCGCCTCGTCTTTTTTATCAGCGCCCGCCGCCGGGTACGACGAGTGTGCGGGGGGGGGGGGGAGGGAAGGGGGAGGAGGGAAGAAGGAGTGGTGACGCGTTTCGGCATTGTTCCGCGTATGTTCTGTAGGAAGAATCTGATCTCGTTAGAGACTAACTGAATCTACGACGGTAAAGCTCCGAATACGAGGTGGTCCGTCCCGGTCCTCCCCGGATCCACTGTGCGAGAACGTTGCCGAGTTTTTTGCCGGCTCTCATTCCACCCCCGCTGTCGTGCAGACTGCATTTTGACGAAGAATTTCGCGCCCCCGGGGAACGTCGCCTCGTCTCCGTCTCCGTCTCCGTCTCCGTCGTCGTCGTCGCCATCGTCGACGGTCCCGACGTACGGCGACAACGTCGGCGACTCGCGTCGCCCTCTCGCCGTTCCCCGACGTCGTTCCTCTTTCTTATGCAAAGCCACGGTTCTTCCCGAGTCGCGCGGCATTCCTGTTGTCGTCGGGCGAATCCTCTTCCGCGCGTAATTATCGAATTCCTGCAGCCGGTTGTGCTCGCGCACCTGTCCTCACGTACGGTGCAGTTGGCCCCCGCCGTATTGTCTAAAAGATTGTCGGCAGAGCGCGTGATTAGAATGCGCTCTTTCTCGGGGGGGTGCCGTATTTGCATAAAAACGAAATAAGCCCATGTCATCGCGGAACGGATGCTTCTCTCGGCGCTCGGCAAAATTGGCGCGACGAAATTTGTGTGTCGTGGGGGAATTTTTCTATTTATTAATATACACAATTTGCGCATGAACTGTTAACCCCCGCGCGTACAGCGCGCCCCTTCTTCTCCTCCAGCGACACCTCTCGCCCTTCAGCGCTCTATCGCTTTTAACGTTTCCAGCACAGTTTTCGCCCGGAACATAATAAAATTCTCGCACTCCATCCCCCCATCTTTCCCGCTAGAATCAATAGCGGATTTCCTTGCTGTTCGCGCTACCGCCCGCGCTATTTTATCCCACCTAACTTTGTTCGTCGCGCTTTAATTATCCCGCGGAGTTTTACATTACCGCGAACGACCGAGGGGAGGGGGAGGGGGGGAGAAATCAGCCACAGATATTACGTTTTATATTATATAATTGGTACTGTCGTTAACGAGGCGATCGATCGCCCTCGGCTCTCCCGCTCGCTTCTCGCGGGCTCTCAGACCGCCGTCGAACTTTCGATCGACTTCCCGACGGCCGCCGCCGCCGACGTCGACGGCACTATGCGCCGATCATTAATTAATTAGCGCGCGTTATCCGTCCGTCCGCCGGCGAAAGCCGCTACTTCCCGGATTACGGCGAATCGAGTCGCATTACGCGGATCGCCCCGCGTCGCGGATGTTCTTGTCCTTTTATTGTTTACGAGCCGCACATATGCGCGCAATTATCCCCCGTTAACGAGGAGAAATGAGAGCCGTTTTCAATGCAACACGATACGGGAATATAGAATTATAATCCTGGGGCATTACTTTCGACAGATCTTGGAGCGGGATGTATTTCGAAATCTCGCATTGTTTATGAATGTCGACATTATGACACGGGCTTTTTTTTCCCCCCCGTTTAATTCGCGGCTTCCTCTTAATGGAATTAATTTAGACGGTTACTTTTCTAAAAATATCGTCCTTGCCAAAAGGGAAAGTTTTTCTGCCGAAGATATATCGGGTATCTCTCATTGCACATTACGATCATTATTCAATCCCTTCCTTTCGCATCCGATTCTCTAAAATTGAATTTCAGCGATCCTTCGTACCTTTAATCCGGGACGACGCTGTTAATGCAGAATTCAATTGAAATGAAGCGTTGATGGATCTGTCATCGGGCTTGACTGTTCGCAGGTTATCGTCGTTATCGCTATTGATCGAAACACGTTTCTCCAAGGGGCCATCCTCGACGCTCTCTAAAGAGTCCAGAGAATACTCTGACATTCCGTATATTCCGACTGCGAAATCTTCATCTGCCGCGGAAGTTAATAAACACGCCATACGGCGTGTAAGGTAGCGACATTAATCTTGATGGATCTCCGTTTTTCGTGCGGCAAACTTCGCGCTTTTTTTCTATCTATATTAGCTGACCCGAAAAAAAGTGCATGCGGTAAATCGTGTGCAAAATGTGTGTCGATTTCGAGGAAACTTTTATGCAGAGTGTATTAAAGTGCCGGGGATCCTAATCTTCTTTAATCTTATTTTTGCTTTAAGCCCGAGGCAGGCTGCTCTTTGAGAAAATTTCGTGGAACGCTCATTTGACCCAATTATTTCGATATTACATATTAAACGAACGTAAAACGGAGGATATTGATCTTGAAGCATTTATTACATGTGTCCTACGCACAAAAATTTATTTCCGAGGTTTAGTTATTTATTGTCATTGTATTTTTTTAAGCTTATTGAAGACGTACTTCTACAAAATCCTACGTGGATATTCTGACATGCAGTTTTTAGTTTATTTCCTGCGAGAGGAGGGGGTGTTAAAGATGATTAAAATTGTACTGTACATTTCGTAATATAATTAATAATTATAATAATTATTAAGTTGCATTGTAGAAGTATTCGATTTTTTCGCTCGTACGGACGAGCAAACACATAAAAGAAATGTTGACGTCTGACTTGATTCTTTTTTAACTCGGCACGATAATATGATGATAGAGGAAAGTCCTGTATTATGAGATAGGATTATAATGTGAGGTAATAGGTTTTTAATGTCCAAATTCAATCGCAAATATTTTTTCGCAATGATTACACAATCTAATAATCAGTTCTCTTTGCTACTAAACAGCTTTCACTTCAAGGGCAATAAATTCATGGCGGAACCAATAGATAACGCCTATTATTTTAGCAGAAAGTCCGTTGTCTCATGTTAGGAGCCTGTCTCATAATAGGGGACTTTCCTCCATTAATCAAACCGAACGTGCAATTTAAGCTTACGGCTCGTCGGATGGTAGCCTCTCCTAAACGACACACCCAATGACATCTCTAGGCTTCACGCAGAAGCAAATTATCATTTAACGATAAAGTGGACACTTTGATAACTTACTGTTATCATACTGTCGTTCACATAACTTGAACATACGTTTAATGTACACTTGAAGAAGAATATCGTCGATATCTTAGCACTGGTTGCTAACCGATTTTACCCACTTCTTTTTTTACGTTAACATATTTTACTTATATAATTATTTTACTTGATAAAAATTTGTATTATATAAACTTGCATAAATTTTAGTAGCTTGATACGATAGCAAAATTGTGTCTTTCGTGATAAAATCTACAAATTAAGAAACTACGTGGTATAATATCTTTAAAAAAATATCGTTCGCTTGAAAAAAATTCGCATTTTAATTCATCCGGTAACCTTAGCTCCTATCACATAAAAGTGTATATGTATATTTATTTGTAAACGATAAGTGAAAATTTAAATCGACATAACAACTTCATCGATATCAATCTAATCCTCGATACTGGAGATATAATAAAAACCGTATCTTGTACTAATCATAACATTTCCATGCGTCAATTTTGATTGCAAAAATCGAAATTAGACGATTACGTTTTATCTAGAATGACCGATAGGAAGAATGCATGTCAGTGGACGGCTACGAACGGACGTCATACAGTTAGAAACATTTGTAGGCGGTCGATAAGGCGCGAAGGCACGCGTTTATTCTCTGCGCGCGTTATATAATTAGGAAATTTCAGTTTCATCGTTGTTATCAAATTCGTTGTTTAATAACGTGTACCGAGAGATTACAGTGAGACAAGTAGAGACGGAAGAAGAGAGAGAGGAGGGGGAGAGAGAGAGAGAAAGAAAGAAAGACAGTTTTCGTCGGGTTGCTGTAGGAGTGGCAGACGCAACTGAGCTTTATCGCTCTTAGAGCGAGACATCAAACGCAGCAGGTACCTATTCTAAGCTAATGTATTATGTACCATTGCTCCATCACGATAGATATGTATGTACGGTAGAAACACGTGTTAAACGCGTTTCAAGGCGATGTCGTAACAGTACACAGCTTGATCTCATCACCGTCGGCGGAATTCTTCGCTACGTTCGCCATGGGTGAATCTAGTAAATCTAGTTCTTATCACATTGATCTATAGTGTCCGATAAATGTATTTCGACAGATATATGTATTCGGGACGTGCGATAAAAGCGCTAAAGATACCGGATTTTCGCCGCATTAAAAATTTGCCGCTCGTTGTGGCGTTGCCTTGTCATCGTCTTATTTTATCTTGATGTAATATAGTGATTAATTCCTATCTTATTTTTATCTTGATGTAACAACGCGATTAATTCTGTAATAAATTCGCCGTATATGAATATAGTACGATAGAATTGTTTAAAAAAAAAATGAACGCTTCGCGGATCTCATTTCGTCAGCGACGACGCCGCTTCGAATTCGATTCGTTAAGTAACGTAATTAACGCATTCATTAATGCTCTCTCATTGAAGTGAAAAAGTGTGAAAACGCTCAACGGAAATTTCTGATGCTGCAGTGCGACAGACTTGACGATACAACTGACGTCGGTGTTTGTCAATTTTCTTATCTCGCTTCTTATTGTCGAGTCGATGTATTCAAAATTCGATTAAACTCGGGTGATTAACTTTTCACACGATTCAGGCGAATGGACTTCATTACGATACTTTCCAAATAAATACGTTTAATTACGATACGTTTGTTCCGATACACTTAATGACGATTGATAATCTAATCGCGATATGAGTACCAAAATGATGTGTGTATATGTATAGTATACACATATATCTCTCTATATATATAAAGTCTTAGCAGGCTTCGATTTGTCTCTCCAGTTGGACAACGTGATACCATCAGAAATACTGGTAAATTTGTTTTCTTACATTGTTTTTGCTGTAGGATACGCTTAAACCCGTATAATCACGATTCGCGCATACTAATAAACATCAATCACGTGTTTCTTACAGCCTCGGGTTTTTATTGATGATATTACGTATCTCTAAAAATAAAATTTGACACTTCAAGCAATCTTCAAAAGTTAATCCTCTTCGGATTGGAAACAAAAAGAGCAGTGGCGACAAGCCTTCAGCAGTAATTATACGACAAACTGTATCGCGATAGATAAATATCACTGATTTTGACTGAGCAATCTGCCGCAATTTTTTTCGTCCGTCAGGCTTATCAAAGATCACGGCTCGAGAGAGCTTTCAAATATATATAAAAATTTTGATAAGTATTTCCGTTACGATGCCTGCGAGTTTTCTTTGATAAACATTTCCGGTGTTATGTCGACGTGCACAGTGATTCTTGACTCTTTGTGCTTCTGTACATATTCTGCTAATCTTTTACAAGCCTCATTACATTTGTAGTTTAACGTGAGAATTACGATACAAAATTGTTTGCTCGATGCAACATCGCTGGTACTTGAGCGCTAAATTTTCGATCTTGTATTGCTATTTTTGATTAATTAATCTTATACATTGAGACTTGGGAAAATATATATGGTAAATCCATACATAACGATCCAAAGCTTCTTCAATTCGTAACATTAATAAGTTTAACACAAATTAAATTAAATCTATAGGCTTTGCGGATTTACATTGTTATATCAGTAATTATCACGTGTATATATTACGAGGGCACGTTTCAACGATCGCGGTATGTGCTTTCTCATGTATTATCAATAGCGTCAATAACTAACACTTATCCAACATAAGTGCTCTAAACGAGTTAAAACGAGTTTATCATTCACCCGCCGAGTGAATACCCCACGAAGAATTACGACCAAAGATAAACACTCCGTTATTGAAACGTATGTGTGTGCGCAGCTTTGGAAAGATTCCGTTTCCTCTGCATTTCAGCGGTTTATCAGTAAATACAGATGGCGAAAATTTTCAGTGGTTTTGTTACGATAATGAGGCACTTGGCGCATCGTGCTTTCGCGAATACCACTTATTTTCCGTTTTACGTGCTCTTGCGTAAATAACAGAGGAGATGGTAGTACATGAGAAGGTCTTTTTACTTCTGTAATAAGTTGAGGTAGATCGTAGCAACGAGGTCATCGACTCAGTTCCTCATCTCCGAAACATATGGTTTTCGGTGCGCGATATTTATACGCAAACCTATCTATAAATTATTCGCATCTGCATATAGAAATATTAATTTTTTAACTGTTATACAGTTTAATACAATGCACAAAAAATTGAATAAATTGAGAACTTAAGACTTTTTAAGATCTTTTTAACGTAATCTTCATAATCACGAGTCTCCAATATCAGCATCCGTATCACTGCCTTCCACACACACTTGAACTTAATATAAATATTCTGATAACAGACTGGCGATTGCACTAAAAGCAAGTACTCAATTTTAAATACTAAACATTTGCACTTTTAGCAGCTAAGTAAAGATGATTCCAAATGGTTAAATTTATTAAGGAAAATGAGCTAATTTCTTACCTAATGAAAAAGTTTTATAAGCGAGAAACAATAACATCCGTTCTTTTCACGGTGTTTTGCTTAACTGATCAGAGGTAGATGGACATTAAGTGTTTGTGGGGAGTTGCCGCTGAATAGCTCTTGTGTGTCAACTTTTTAACAGCAATTTCCTGTATTTTATAACCTTCTCTCATGTTACCACCATCTCCTCTACATATTATTAGCGAAACTGATACTAACTGATCTCTAGCTCCACTTTATTTACACCAATTATACATTTGACCGATGCCGCTAACACTCAGCCTCTTTTGCTGCCGTTGGAACGGAATTCTAAGTTTTTCGTCTCTTTTTCAGGCAACATTTATAAATATTGCACGGGGAAAATGGTGTACATTAACGTCGCCGTTTGCCTGTCAGTTCTTCTGCTTGTGATCGGATTATCCGTGGGGCTGAGCGTGAACACCTTTAAAGGGCGAGATGCTCTCGACTCGACGCCTCTTATCGATGGGTAATTTAATTGTATAATCGCAGAAGCGCGCCGATAAGAAAACAAATGACTTTGGCACATCTTTATTCGATGGATATCATTGGGCCTATAGCGATATGCCGGTCGATAAGTTCGGGTAATTCCGAAACCCCGAGAATTACGTCAATCAAAATCAATGACTGAATTAAATTTGATCGCCTTTTCAATTGGCTGACGATCAAAAGAGCTCGTTCTTCTGCGCGTTAATATTTTCTTACATATTTCATGATCCTCTTTATACAATTTGCTTCACAAGTCGACGTAATGTTTAACATAAATATGACGTTGATGTCCAAAAATAATTGTTTCTGATGATTTTTCATAAGATGCAATCCGTATTTTCATGTGCAACGTGCGTTCATATCTCACCTACACCTGGTGTCTCTCCTCCTCCCGTCTTTCGATCAGCTAAATTGATCTCCGACCGTTATATTTGCAGCCACAACGATTTGCCGTACAATCTCTATGCGAAGTTGAACAACCACTTATCGGGCTTCCGTTTCGAAAGCGATCTAAGCAACGACGATGTCTGGGGGAAAACCGCTTGTCGTTCGTGTTTCACTGATCTACCTCGCTTGATTAAGGGAAAAGTGGGTGGACAGGTGAGTCACGAGATCTTGCATGAGAGACCATACGAGATCAATTATCTAAGAATCGCGCAATATTTGCTTCACAATTAGTAGATTAGCCACTTTATCTCGAACTGTTTTCCTTCGTACCGAGAAAGTTCCCCGCCTTCTCTTCCACCTGCCACCGTCCGCCGCTCCATTTTCCCCACGTGCTCGCAAGAAGGTCATTATCTCGACCCCCTCTGCGAAGAAGTCCCTATCGCGGGACTTTCTCGCCGAGGAGCTAATCCCTGCTGTTCGCACGATAACAAATCACGCGATTTTTTTCAGTTCTGGGTAGCGTACGTATCATGCTCATCGCAATACAAGGATTCCCTACAGCTGACGCTACGACAGATCGACGTGATCCGGCGATTCATTCGGCGATATCCGGACAACCTGCAATTGGTCACCGCCGCGGGGGACATCGAGACCACGTGGAGGAGCGGCAAAATAGCGTCCATGATAGGCGTCGAGGGTGGCCACTCCCTCGACTCGAGCCTGGCGGTTCTGAGGCTGTACCATGACCTCGGTGTGCGTTACGTTACACTGACTCACACCTGCAACACCCCGTGGTACGGGCGCACGGAGTCCTTTCGCTTGTCACAACTAAATGCATTCGTGCCTTATGCTGTTCACAGCACGCGCCTCTGGAGATGTAAATTGCAAAAGTGCGACTTTCGGTCGTACTTCACGGGCGAACTTTACAGAAGTTCTTATCTCTCCTCGGACAATAATGATATAGTAATGGTTTTTGTAAATCTGCCAGCGCGACTAGAAACGTTTTTCGGCAATTCGTTTTATCTCTCGGCTATTCTAAAGAAACGTGAACTTTAACCTGCGACAAATTTTATCTTTGTCTTGACAGGGCTGATGCGTCGACCGTGGACGACGGATATGTATACAATCTGACGGAATTCGGGCAGGTACGTGAGAATTTGTGTAGTTCTCGTTGCTTTAGGTTTGATATGTAACATATCTGACGGAATAGGGGCAAGTACGTGGGAATTTTTGCAGTTATCATAGGTTTAGGTTCGACGTTCAAACACTTTGACGGAATATGCATACAATGTAACACTGATATGCCTCTAATAGCACAGTGCATTGGCTAAACAATGGCTGAATATAGGTCTAATGTTGGTTACATTAGAAATGCATTGGCCGATGTTGTCCAACGTAAAGCCAATGGCCAATATTGGCCGTGAAATTAATGTAAATACTGTACGATAATAATTATATAATATTAGATTTTTGTTGGAAGTGCATTGGCCAAAATTTAATAATGTAATAACAATATTGATGCACTTTTAGGCCAGTATCGCTAAATAGACATATTGGCTAAACAAAGAAAGGCGTCCATCTTACAGTATTGGACCAATATTGGGAATACTCGATTTGCAATATTTTTGAATATTGCGCCAATATATTGTGCTACTAGGGGCATAACAGTTTGACGGAACTCGGACAGATACATAAGAATTTTCGCAATTATCGTTGTTTCAAAGATGCTTTGTTTCACTCTTCATCTTCTCACATGACGAAAAGTCCTGAATTATTATGATTATGCGGCGTATCTCGGTAATTGACGCAACGATTTATTGATACGGAATGGCGCCCGCAGTAATTGCGTAGCATAAACCTATCGTCCAGATCGATGAGATACATTCAAATCCGATTAGGTGAAAAACGTCAGCGATTGATTAAATAAAAATAAAATGGACATACGATTGTTTCTTATGTTACATAACCATAGCTTTCGAGCGTACAATTTTTATCGCTCACTAATCACGTCGTATCAAACGGAACAGTCCAATTATCGAAAATGTCAATAACAATCATAAAAATCATACTTTATGAATTGTAGGCGGTGGTTTACGAGATGAACCGAATCGGAATGCTGGTCGATCTGTCTCACGTCTCTCACAACGTCATGCGGGAAGTGCTCGCAATAACGAGGGCTCCCGTTATATTCTCGCACTCGTCCGCTTTCAGCGTGTGCAACCACTACAGAAACGTTCCCGATGATGTCCTGCACTTAGTCGTGAGTGCCGTCGACATTTTGCAAAAAAAATTTTCCGCCCGAGAGAAGAGCCGGGCGAATTACAAGGGCACGTTCTTTCTTTCAGAAAAAGAACAATGGTATCGTTATGGTGAACTTCTACAGCGATTTCGTCAACTGCAATTCTTCGAGGAACGCGACGATGGAGGATGTCATAAGTACTGTCTTCAATCACGCAGCAGAGCATATGACTTATATAGCAATCGTAAAACTACAGAGATAAAGATTGAGCTTGTGACCAATTTCTCGGCCACCTCTAAAAGTTACAAAATGATAACGAAGCATACATGATATACGTATATTGGGAAGGAATATATCATTCCTTCCCGAAATTTTTATTATCTCGTCGATCAGTCAGTTCTAGTACACGTGACTAGCACATTCTTAATTGTACGGTAATCTTGTATTCGTAATCACCAGATTAATTTACTGTGACATATTTTCAGAGCATATAAATCACATTCGAAATCTTATCGGGCCGGACCACGTTGGTATCGGTGGAGATTACGACGGTGTAAGCTCGTAAGTAATTACATTAACTCTAGCAACGTGATTGGCACACAATGAGCCAATAAATAAATGCGGGCGAAATATATTTGATGAAATTAACCAGAATGCCGGTGGGATTGGAGGACGTCTCAAAGTACCCCGATCTGTTCGATCGTTTGTATGAGAGTCGAGAGGGTGAGCCAACGTGGACTAAGGAGGATTTAGAAAAATTGGCCGGAAGAAATCTTATTCGAGTTTTCGAAGCTGCAGAAGCGGTAGGTATAAAGATAGTAAAAAGAGAAACGTGCAAGAGTCAGGCGATGGCACTTTATATTTTCTTTTAATTAACCTTTTTACGAAAGGTGCGGGATTCGTTGTCGTCCGAATCCCCACGAGAAGATACTATAACGGGAACAGAATTATACGTTGCGCAAAAGAAAGAAGGGCTCGCGAATCCAGGCTCGTGCCAAAGCGCAATCGAGTAAGTAGTGCCTTGTATAAGCATTGTTTTGTTAATTTGAATTTGCCGCGGAAAAAGGTAGCAGTTTGCTACAACACTCGATGTGTACAAAGTTCTCGCTTATTGTATATCATTTTAGATGGGAGAACGTAAATATAACAGATATTGAACAATCTGTGAGCTTAAGTGCTATTAAAAGTACGCAGATGTACAGAAGACTCGAGGTGGACGGTTGTTAAAACGTCAGAGATCGTGTTAAAACATGTGTAAAACGATATGTGATATTTTGTTAACACACAGTTAACATTAAAAGGCAAAGTATCCAAATGTTGGATAATATTATGAAGATCATTTAATCTCCTTCATACACGACTGATTCCAATATAAATAAAGACAATTACAAAATATTTGACAGGGTATGAAGATAATATACCACTTTTCGAAGGTCTCTAAAAACACTCTTGCATCAATTTTAACGATTTTTGCGATTTTACGTTATAAACAATAAATAAATTATTTCTCTAATATAACATACGATATATATATTTATCTACGAAATATAAATTAAGACGTACTTGCTTTTTGTACTCAGGGATATCTTAGGATTATTTTTTTATATTTTTAAGTATTTTGTTATTCGGTAGTTTTCTATCTCAAGGTTTAAATGAGATATAATCATCCGAGTTGGGAACTTATCGATAAAGACAAATAAAAGATATTTTTGCTTTAAAACAATTAAGTAGATTCTGGTAATCAACTGTTATAATAACGTATAAGTAATAAATAGCATTTTTATTTTTATAAAACACTTCATTTTTCCATCGAATGTGTTATATTTTTCTCTTTCAAAAATAATATAAAACTTAAAACTGGCTTACATTACGTCAGCTGGCATCACTTATAATTATATACATATAAAAGGAAAGAATCTTGCACACATTCGCAAATATAAAATTATAAAGTATAATTAGAAATATACATATTATAATTATCGTTCTATGTACATTTGTATAATGAGAGATTAGATAGATAGTGAGATAACAAGTAATAACTCTTAACAAATCAAACTTAATTGACAGCAAACTTATATCATCTTAATTTTATTTTAATCGCTAATTTGATTTGTCAGCGACTTTCAATATAATGCTCCCTTTCCATTAATTCGGACCACTCTATGAAATCTGTGGATTTTTGCATCAGTTTGATATCCGTCGTCAAATTTTTCCTACAAATATTAATGTTTCATTGAGTCGAACGAAATTGAAACCAAGCTGGATTAAATCACGCAAGTATTAACACAAGGCACCCTAGATAGAACAGTTTTACAGAAATTTAAAAATGTAATTTTTATACTACAAAATTTAAAATAAATGGGATGACGTATGTGTGAAAAAGATAGCGAATTAATACGAACCACTGACTTTTCCTGATAAACGGTATGACCTTTGGGATTGGAAATCCATTGAATGCGGTGCACAGACATAACGTGTAAGCACCCATGTCCTCCCAAACCAGCCAGTCGCCGATATGAAGTTCCGGCATTAATACATCTTTAACGATTACATCGTACGAATCGCAGGTCGGTCCCCATAGAGTCGAAAGAAACTTCTCATCGCTCTCTCTCATCGGCTACGTTAATTAATAATAAATTATTTTACATCAACAGAAAGACATTTTGCATACACGATTATACACGTACTTCAACGAGAGCCTGCGGGACTCGAGACTTTATGCCCACCATTTCGTCGAGAAACGAATTGTACGTTCCGACGTTCGCGTAGTACATTCTCATAATTTTGCCATCTTTACAAACGACCTTCTTGGAATGTAAATACGAGGCTAGGGTGAACGCCGAGTCAACGTAATATCTTCCGGGCTCGCTGATAACTTTTATGCTGGGGTCAAGATCCTGAATTGCATTGTTGACGATATTGGCGAGCTGAAGGGATTTAAATATGAGTTAAAAGGCCATTTTATACCCCGGCAGTATACACAGGACGTGCGAGGAAAGCGCGTACCTTGTCGATATCAGCTCCTCTCTCGCCGGGGAAGCCGCCGCCGATGTCGATCAGCTGCACGTCCTTGCAGCCCATCGACTTGGCGATCGCGATCAGTCGTCTGCATATCCCGATGCCTCTGCTGAACGCGTTCAGCTCCCCGCACGGGCTGCCCGGGTGAAAACTGAAGCCGTGCAAGGTGAGACCGAGGTCCATCGTAAGCTGTATCAGTCGCACAGCATCCTCGTCCGGCTCGCAGCCGAACTTCAATCCGAGGTCGCAATCCGAGTTTTTTGCGTCGCACCGTATGCGTATTACTATCCTGTTGGATCGTTGCGGGAGATTATTGTACGGTACCATACGTGGAAGAACAAGAGGATGAAGGAGAAGCGGGGATGCCGCCCGTAGCGTACAATGGCGAATAATAATCGCAGCGATCTCGCACACTCACTTGGCCTCGGGATAAAGATCCTTTATCTTCAAAAGCTCCAGTTCGCTGTCGGCGGTTATCCGGTCGATGTTCATTTTCTTGGCGTACTTGATGTGAGACGGGCATTTGTACGGATTCGCGAATATGATCCGGTCGGCTTGCACGCCGTACTGCATCACTTGCCTGATTTCTTGCTGTTACGGCGAATTAAATGCACGTTAAAATGAAGCCTATCATTCTGCCCCGCGATTTGAGGAGCAACGAGAAAAATGTGAGGAACAATTTCTCTATTTTCAAGTTAAAAGGAATTAATTTGAAGAAAAATCTTGACGTGACAAAATATACGATAATCGAGTTATCCTTTAAACTTGAAAGCATCGAGCGCGGAGATTGAGTAGGAATTTTAACGTTTCACGTTTAAAATGCTGAAGTCTACTGACGAAAGGCGCAACGAGTTTACCTCGGACGCGCAGTCGAAGCCAGTATTCAAAGCTGCCAATATCTTGATTACACTCGGATCGGGATTGCATTTAACCGCTGAAATCAATTTAGAGAAAGGTGAGAAACCTCAATTCTTTCGGCGCGAATTTAAGCGACATCGCCGAGGCACCAATCGTCCTTAAAGCTGACATACCGTAGTGCGGGATAACCCGCGGAATCTTGGTAATCCACTCGCGGTGCTTGTTAACAATATCACCAATATCCACGATGTAGAAGCCGTCCTCCTGGCTGTTCGTGTCGATGATAGTTTTAATAACGTCCACGTTGTCCGCCGCGTCGTCGAAGACTTTAATGTCGGTGAAATCGCTGGGAGACATGTTCGCGAGCTCCGGTGTCTTAGGTGATAACTGACGGATACGAACCGGGCGTAACAATGCCTCCGCGCGATATGCGGCTGTCCAGAGAAGTGTAACTGCTTGACTACTTATAGCAGTCCGAGATATTGTGATAAGCACTGCTTGAATACGATGTCGAGTCCACCTCGCGTTTGCTCAACGATAAGATTCGTGTGGATATTAGCGCAAGTCCTTTCATTGGCGGAATCTCTTATTGTTACGATGACGCAAATTACGAAAGGGGACCACACACTCTTAATCTTGTATCGCGTAGTATCGCCAAATTCGAGAGGTACACGTTAAAATAAAATAAAAAATAATTATGAGGTACATAAAAATCCCACGCAAATAGGAGGGAAGATACGTTTCCCGGTATACTAGCGCGAGGTGCAAGATACATGGTATAAGGTAATAATGAATATATCACGGTCAGTTGGAGGTACCGTTCGAGGTACCGTCTATAAATTCACGGTACATATTTTAGGAGGTACAAGTGGTTCCCGTACGTACCTCCTAAAGGAGCAAGTACCTGTCCCCATGCCAACGAGAGATAGCTTTTGTTATTATCTTCCTTCGTCGTGCCACATTTGCGTGATCGCGTCGGCTAGAGACCTAGAGACACGACCCAGGGAGAAATAATTTGTCGATCGATGTCGAAACGATGTCGATTCGACATCACTTTGATGGTGTCAATGTAGACTCGACGTCGTTTCGACATCAATCGACGAGCCATTTCTCGCTGGGGACGTGCATATTGCACGCATTACGGGCGCATTTTGTAATGTAGATATTCGGGGCACTTTTCGTGGCCAGTGCCAAGAATTAAATTGCGAATGTGCAGAGTACATTCGCAAATTACATAATGTGGATGAATCTTTCGTTTTATGTCTATATTGTGGGCATCCACCAACAAGACATGTTTCTCCTCAAAATAAGACTCCTAATTTCGACGCACTACCTTCCCTCCTATTTTCGTGGATCTTTACGTACCTCGTAATTACGTGTACATTTTATTTTAACATGCACCACCAATTTTTGGCGGTGCACGCTTAAGAGTGCACTCAATGATCTGTTGTTATCGTCGGCCAGGTAAACAGCCGCGCCCGGAAAATTATTGCGATTTGCGTGTAACGCGCGTGGAAATTTTTATCAGGTGGGGAAGATTTATTTCCGTCTACGCGGAAGCGAGAGGGAGACGCTATTCTGGGAGGAGAGAACGCGGAGGAATTCCCCACGGTGGTGCATTCACCTTACGCGGAAACTTGAGAGCCCGATGTCTCTCTCCCGTCACAAAGGACGTATTCCTTTCAGACATTCATCGTTTTCGCTCGCTTGCATCCTTCTTTCCGTTTCCCTGTGTATGTTCGACATATGCGTGCGCGCATACACACATACATACAGATACGTAATAACGTAAGGAAGCAATGCGCGATGTAACATAATGAATATAATCTGCGTACGGCCGACCAACGTTTATCGGCGCGCAAATCACAAAAGTCCGAAATAGACGCGTTGACAGCATCTTTATACTGTTATTGCGACAAATATTACCGTATGCCTCGGTGGTCGAATTGGTGAGACGCCCGCCTAGAGTGTAGGGAGGTCCGGGTTCAACGCCTGACTGAGGTAATATTTTTCGCAATAAATTTTCTGTATTATTAAAAATGCCAGGTATGGTCAAGAAAATACTGACGTTGTTAATTATCGCTCTGGCGACATTGAAGAATTCTTATTATAATGAATATAAATTTGTAAAAGATTTGTTTAAAAAGCCATTTAGTTTATGGGGGGGGAGGGAGGGCAATAAGGGGTGTTCATATTTGCTTATAAGACCGACAATTATGTCGGCGCGCATTTCTACTTCGAACTTAGTCACGATATGTGACTTTTGTGAAGTAACTTTAGACTGTTTGTTACGATAAATATTATCATATGCCTCGGTGGTAGAATCGGTCCAGATTCAAACCCTGGCTGAGGTAAATTCTTCGCAAAAAATTTAAAAATCAAAATCACTTGGACACCAACATCCTGTCTTGGCTCTTACATCCTTTTTTACTTCGTATTTGTATAAAAAGATTTGAAGATTTTGGTCATTTACTCACGGTGTTGATGTCCACGATGTGGAAACCGTCTTTTTCATGTTGAGTACAGTTGTAGTGATGTCCGCCGGATACATTCTCCCTGTGTTAACACAAATATTCAAATATATTGTAAATTGTAATGCACAAATGCTGCTGCTATAGCAATTACAGGAAATTATCCTCGGTTTTAACGACGAAGCAGCGCCATTTATTTGTGAGTAGAAGTAAGGAAAAAATGTTATATAAAAGTTACAACCAAAGAAACGTGCCGCGAATGAAAGAAACTTATTTTTGTCATTAGTATAGTAATTTAATTTCAATTTAATAATTTCATTTAATTAATGTAATTTGTCCACTTAAAAATATAATTTCTTTCTTTGCCCGAACATTAGTTACATACACGCGCTATGAGAAATTAATTGTTTTTAACAGAGAATTTTTAACGCGGTTGGGCGATCGCCCAGGGCGCCAAATCTGCAAGGGGCGCCGCTGCCTGGTTTCACCTAGGTTTGCGAGCGAGAGATTCCCTAAAATATAAAAACAGAATAGGGTTCGTCCTTCGATATTATCGCCCTGTCTGTTCTTTCTCAAGAATTTCGAGCTCTTGAATTTAAATGGACGCCGCGATATAATCTTGAACGCCAACGTTGCTAAAACCGGCACTGGATAGACCCTTGTGGTGTTAATTACAGGCAGGACGTGATTGCACAACGCCGCGTGCAGCCACGAGTTTCGTATTCGCGCATTTTCCAAGTAGCATACTGGAAACTTGAGCCCATTCTATCCGGCAGATTCGAACGTTTCCATATACGTGACCATCTTGGGAGATTATCTTAGCCTTAGACTCGTTGTGTTACAAAAAATTCCACTCACGCTATCAACGTGACAATCCAAATTTACGCAGTTGCCCACAAGAAAGATGTAATTATCGCAGAGAACTCGCAAAACTGATACTTACGTCTCCCGTTAATGTTGCAACCGCGAAGTCCTCGCAAGCTCCAACACCTTCGACGCTATCCGCGTAAAAATGGCGGCTCCCCAACGCGTCTCTCCGAGTCTCCGGGAAGCGCAGGGAGTCGCCATCTGGCGGCGGCGCGCGTCACCGCCGTCGTCGGTGATTCACGGGAAGTCGCATGGGGGCCGCGAGTGGATCCTCTCGAGAGTGCTCCGGAGGGCCCGTACTTTGGCCCTGCTTCTCAACCGCTAAACAGTGTCCCCGCGCAATTATGCTGTAAATCGGCCGCGCGCGTACTCCCCGAAGACGGTGCCCGATACACATCGACACACATCCCGCCGAGGCATTCGAGTGGGCGCATCTGACGCGACGCGAGGGCATCGAGCGTAACCGAGTCCACCAGTGCGTGTCCCCGGCAGCAAGATGGCAGCGAGCGACTCCAACACGGACGACAGCCTCTACCCGATCGCGGTTCTGATCGACGAGCTGAAGAACGAGGATGTCCAGGTGGGTCGCCGCGACGGCGATCGCGCCCGAGCGAGTCCCCCGCTCCCTCCCCCGCGTCCTCCGCCGGGTCCTCTCTTTCCTCGCTACGCGTCCGCTCAGCGGAGCACCGGGAAGGTGTCCTGCGCTTTCTGGACGGTCACGAGGATCTGGCACTTGTGATAGTGCGAGTCGAGCGCCGGACACGCGATTGTGAGCAAAGGAGACCCGGGTGGAAATCGGACAACGTTCGTCGACCATTTTTCGTCACCGTTCAGGGGGTCGTTACATGTTATCCTTTTCGTTGCAGCTACGTCTCAACTCCATCAAGAAGCTATCGACGATCGCGCTCGCGCTGGGCGTCGAACGGACGCGGAGCGAGCTGATACCGTTTCTGACCGAGACCATTTACGACGAGGATGAGGTCCTCCTCGCGCTGGCCGAGCAGCTCGGCACGTTTACTCCTCTTGTCGGTGGACCGGAATTCGTACACTGTCTATTGGTAAGGATCTGTTTCGGATGGCAATCGACACTAAGTGGTATTCATAGTCCAACCTTGCATTTAAAATCATCTTAATATTTTAAATGGCATTGAGTTCGCCGATTGTGACTCGTAGAGTTAAAAGAATAGACTGGGTGTTCTTATGCGTGCGTCAACTGACGCGTGGACCGAAGGATAGAGATAAGTCTCTCTCTCTCTCTCTCGCACACTATAGAAAGTGGGGAGGAGTACAGAGAAGAGCCTTGTATCCACGATCCAAGAACTTGGACACACAGTCTTTACGATGTTTAATTCTCCCTGTCTTCACATTCCCACCAACTCGTGTATTAGAAAGAGAACGACTTACGCTAGCGACTTGTCTCTCTCACTCGCAGGAATTTGACGAATTCTTATGGCCAGTCTCTGACTACAGGGTCTCTAACTTACGCTATTGCTCTCTCTTTCTAACGTCAGCTGCCCTTATAAAATGCGCAGTCTGTTTTTCTTAAGTCTATGTTATGACTCGACTATTTCTAAGTGGAGCCACATATCAGAGATTGTACTCGAGATTGTCGAACGGATCGAGAAGGTTTGGAATGCCAGTGTAAATACACAGTAGTATATTTCGGTAAAGCCAAGTACAAGAGGATAAATATTTACGTGCGTTCGCGTTTGTGTATACACAACAGGTGATCCCTCGATCGAGAAGCCTCAGGCTTCTCTTCCCTCTTCCGTGGGCAAAATCGCGCATGCGTTGATCTCTCACAGTTGCCGTCTCCCCGCGCACAATTGCTATATTCTTTTCAGAGATAATCTTTAATATCTAAAACAAACTTAAAACTACGTGTTGGACTATGAATGTTGCTTTAATAGAAATTTCATCGTGTCTCCTTGTTCCGCCCATCGAAGAGATAAATAATGTAAATTACTGATTCAGCCACCACTGGAGTCCCTGGCCACCGTGGAAGAGACTGTGGTCCGCGACAAAGCTGTGGAGTCTTTAAGAAATATCGCGAGCCAACACAGCCCCGCGGATCTGGAGGAGCACTTTGTCCCGTTGGTGCAACGCTTGGCCTCGGGAGATTGGTTCACGTCGAGGACATCGGCGTGCGGCTTATTCAGCGTTTGTTATCCGAGGGTGAGCCCAGCCATCAAAGGTAATTGCACGACAGTCCTCGTGCCGGATCAGTGTTTAAGCGAAACGAATATTGATAATCCTAATGTTTTTTTGGAAACTCGAATGTTGCAGCGGAACTGCGAAATCACTTCCGCAGCTTGTGCCAGGATGATACACCCATGGCGCGACGGTCAGCCGCTTCCAAGTTAGGCGAGTTCGCAAAAGTCGTGGAAATCGAGTACCTCAAATCTGATTTAATACCCATGTTTGTTATACTCGCTCAGGACGAACAAGTAGGTGCATTGAAACAATGAAACTTCACAAACGTTCTGTTTTATCCGAGCGGTAAACCACTGAGGGTATTGTGTACAGATTGCGGCATTATTAGGCATTTTTTGGGCATTAGTTTGGACATCAGGCCTTGCTGGGGTATTCTAAAAATTAAATAAAGTTAAATAGGACGTTGTAATATAAATCGAACAAGCGAGGGCGCCTTTAGGCCCGAGCAAGATGTTGGTAGTCCAGTAATTGTAATCTAAAGTGTGAATTCGTGTACCGTTTTCAATAATATAAAGGTAAAACAAGATACGTAAGATAAAGCAATGCCCACTGGGCATTAGTAGGCATTGGTGTACATGATTTTGGTCAGCGGTTTACCCCTCGGTTTTATCAGCCAGATCTGTTACACGGTGACGCGTAATTTTACAGGATTCAGTTCGTCTTCTGGCTGTTGAAGCCTGCGTCAGTATTGCAGCGCTGTTACAACAAGAAGATGTTGAACAATTGGTCATGCCTACGCTCCGCCAGTGCGCCAGCGATCAATCTTGGCGCGTTCGTTACATGGTGGCAGATAAATTTACAGATGTACGTATCATTGTTTAACACTTAAACATCGAGATTTGTTTTGAGAAAATTTTGTACTAAAAGCATAATTTTTCCTGCAGCTCCAAAAGGCTGTCGGACCGGAAATAACGAAAACAGATCTTGTGCCAGCATTTCAAGTATTATTGAAAGATATCGAAGCGGAGGTGCGGGCCGCAGCTGCTGATAAAGTCCGCGATTTCTGCCAGAATCTTGATCAGTTTAATCAGGAGTCTATAATAATGACAAATATATTGCCCATTGTTAAAGAACTCGTGGCAGATCCCAATCAGCATGTGAAGTCAGCTTTGGCAAGCGTAATCATGGGGCTAAGTCCCATTCTCGGCAAGCAAAAGTAAGAACAAATGTAATTTAAATATAATGCTACAACACAAAGTATACAATCGATTGATAAACATTTTAATATTGTTTGCAGCACAATTGAACATCTGTTGCCTCTATTCCTATCCCAGCTGAGAGATGAATGTCCCGAAGTGCGACTCAATATCATTAGTAATCTAGAATGCGTTAATGAAGTTATTGGCATACAGCAACTCTCGCAGTCTCTCTTACCCGCTATCGTGGAGTTAGCCGAGGACTCTAAGTGGCGTGTGCGACTAGCTATTATTGAGTAATTACATTTGCTTTCGTCTAAATTGAATTTGAGAAAAATAGTGCGCTTGTGCTAATGCCTTGAATTTCAGATATATGCCATTGCTAGCCGGGCAGCTTGGCGTGGAGTTCTTTGATGAGAAATTAAATTCTCTCTGTATGACTTGGTTGGTGGATCATGTTTATGCGATTCGGGAAGCAGCTACGTTAAACCTGAAGAAACTGGTAGAGAAGTTTGGGCCCGATTGGGCACAGAATACGGTGATACCTAAAGTCTTGGCTATGTCCAGGGATCAGAATTATCTGCATAGAATGACATGTCTGTTTTGTATCAATGTAAGCTACATCATTATATTGTATAGCTTCGACCGTGGCAATAGTATGTAATTTAATGCGTGAATTTACATTTCTGTAACAGGTTCTGGCTGAAGTATGTGGTCCAGAGATAACGACAAAAGTGATGCTTCCAACTGTATTAACAATGGCCACTGATAATGTTGCAAATGTAAGATTTAATGTCGCTAAGACTCTACAGCGAATTGGACCTTTCCTAGAACCCTCAGCAGTTCAAACTCAAGTAAAACCTATCCTCGATAAACTCAATACTGACAGTGACGTAGATGTGAAATACTTTGCTTCAGAAGCAATCGCTGGCATAGCAGGTAAACATATCGCTATACTATGTTTTGTTATAAATTCTTATATTTTACATGTCTTTTATTAACGTGTAAGAAATGAATAATCAACATGTTTGAACGTACATATGTGCATGCATATTTCTAATTTGTCTTATTATAAGAAGTATTACTTTATAAGACGCTAATTTATTTTCGATTTCTCAATTATATTTGGCCTTAATTATGATAACGTTTCAGCGTAGGTTGAACGACCCAGTGCATTTATCACTTATCCAATAATAATCAACTTAAATTTGAAAGAGAGACAGAAATAATATGCCACAATACTTCACTTTTAAACACATGGCAACAGGTAATATTATGCACAGTCAAGGCAAATTTTGGCAGAAGGAGACATACAAATGAGTAGATTATATTAAACCGTATTTTAAGTTATGTTGTATTTGTATACCTATAATTACAGTAATGAGTACAATATTCGATTTAATTGGTATCATGTATTTCTCGTACATAAAGTAATTGTCGTAAAAAATATATAACGATAATAAAAAAAATGTATCTTCAATCGTTTCTATAACCAAAATATCTAGTTGTGAACAACACATCCGTTTTTCCAATCAAGAGGTTTAATAATCTCACGTCTTGATAATTAACACTTTAATTACTTAGGCCTTCAATTCGTATTATATATTATTTTCAGAGAAACAAGAATCAGTTTTGTGTTATAATATATTTTATTACATACCATTAATATGAACATCTTACATTACATGATATCACAGCTTATCACTATTATTGTTTAATAAGTTTCCAATATATATTTAGTAAACGTAATACTTGTAAATATACCGATATTATGAAGACGTTTATTACTTATTGTTAGCATTTCTAAGTTTTATCCGCATAAGAAATTATAATCAGTTACATTGAATTAAGAAAATAATTTTGTTTTTTTCCACTTGCTTTTCAATTATATGCTAATAGCTGGGTGTAATGTTAAACCAAAAATGCAATCAATAAGTAAATTATAACCTAACCAATGTTGTTCTCTAACAAAATATATAGTAATACGAATTTTGTTCATTATTGCGTTAGGTAAGCGTACTGTTGCTGCACAATTTTCTGTTTTAATATAATAATACAGGGATGTAGCTGTAATTGTATAGCTACTGTACTTCTTGAGCTTTTAAAAATTTCTTTTTATAGTACGATTATTATCAGATGCAGTTAAGATCAATTGTTTTTCATTAAAATCTACTTAATATGTATGGAATCTTTTTTTTTACTGGGTTTTTAATGCTTCAATACTTTCTAAAACTGAATACTTGTTAAGACATTAAAGTAATTATCATATACATGACATATCATGACAAATTCAAAATACAAAGGATATAATTGCATTAATAATGCATTATTTCATAATATCTAATTTATCATTAATTTTATATAAAATATCCTGTAAAGAAAATAATCCTTATAACACTCAACACTTAATAATTTTATGTACATATAAGAATTATGAAATATATTATCTACTATTTTAAAGATACTTCTAGAAATAATGCAAATTTTAGCATTTTGTAAAAAAATTCGTAATTTCTGTCCATTTTAACAGTCAAATTGTTTATATAATTAAAGATACGATTTATGCAATATTGCCACAACTGGTACATTTTCAACTTCAACTAGTTTTCTTAATAATAATGCAACATGATTTCTTAGTTTAACATAAAAAGCTTAATACTACACCGATTCAGTTTTGTAATACAATCTATAACAACAATGGTCTTCTTTTATTGTGAACTTATCGAAAGAAATGAAGATTTATTAATTTCGTTCATTTTTTGATGTCGAGAATGATGAAAATGTAAGCTAATCAGTAAAGCAATTTAAAACATTGCCAATCTCTTATTGATATTTAAATGGAAAGTCTATCTTTTGATATATTCTTAATCTATGTATGACATGACTATGTTATACATTCTTCTATACAACATTCCTTTTAAATATTTAATACTTGCTAATAAATTATCCATTAACAAAATTATAAATACTAATGGGTAAATTGCACCAATGAGATTGTATCTTTTATCTATGTTCGGAAGTCGTGTTTTGTTAATAGCGATTAATTATGCTACTGATATACTTTTTACAACCTAATTCAAAATTTAAAATACTCGATATTTAATTTTTTACTGCTTATATATGAATATGTATCATTAACGTAATATCTTCAACAAAACGAAGCAACTAAAGTATATCTCGTCATATCTCGTCCACATTCTGTAATACCTTCTTAGGTATATAAATTATACATACATTATATGCGACATGACGAGTATATGAATACGATGAAAACACGTATGAATGTCATATGATGAAACAATCAGGAAAAGTAAAATATGGAAGTTTGGCAACTCTTTTAAATCTATCGTGAAAATATAGACACGGGGTACGGTCGCGGAGCTCGCTATTAAATCGCTGAGAATGTCATCAATCTTTCTTTGACGCATAATGAGTAACAAGGATAGAATGACGTTTTCAGCGCTGAATAGCGCTGATAGTGAGCTCCCGCGAACGCACCTGCAGTATGTCTCTGCTCAGTTTTCTCATTTCGTATTCTATAAAACAAGGGTTTTATAGAAGCACGTGAAGACTCTGAGTAGAGACATATTGTGCCTTAATCATCGTCGTTTTGTACATTATCATTACATACGCTTGGACAGCGTACACATCCGTGTTAATCTATTACCTACTTATCCTATTTTGAATCTTTCTACTTCAGGTAGGAAGATACTTGTGTTCGTAACACAATGGCAAGTATGAATTATATCGTGGCCATGTCCGACTTGGTCAAATCCACCGAAATCGTATGACTAATTGTAGTAACATGTGCGGCCCCGCTGTCCTCGCTACCGCTGTTAACAATATTTAACGATGAAATTTTGGCTCGCTGATACGCTACAACGGTATTCAAGCTCAAGAATCTAGAACAAACCATTTCAACTGTTATTAAACTGAATGTATGAAATTTTTATTTTTATTAAGGGGCAACACCTGTGTAACCGGCTGAAATAGAGGTCTACTATACATGTCGAAAAGTAAAAAAACATGTTTTTATAAGTAAATATTACAAAATGGTGGATTAAAGGTGCGTTCGGGGAGCGCGCTTTTAGCGCTAAAAGCGTCTTCTATCCTTGTTCGACATACAGCGAGTGACGACGATAGACTGATGCTTTCAGCGCTAATAACGTCTCCCCCCCCCCCAGGCGCAGCCTAAATGTTCTAAAAATAAAACATCATCTACTTACCTTATGCAGACATACATAATCAGTAATGCGGTTCCAGCTGCGAGCATTCTAATGATTGGCCCTTCTACAAGCTGGATAACTATCCAGGCAGCAGCAGAAGACGCACACATCGTGGTAACAATAGCAATAGTCTGCAGACAATGGCGTGGGGTCAAACTGTTTTGCCAATCCAGTCGGCTGGCATGTTCAACGTTATATTTCGTGTTGCAGACTTTGCAGACAAGACTGTCAGCATTTACAGAACTCTGAAAGAGTAAGGAAATCACGATTGGTAAGGCGCATTACGTTGAAAGCGATCGGTATTCAGGGTAAGACATCGTAGCCACTTTACCTCAACGAGCCAGCGACGCAAACAGTCGTGGTGTACAGCGCTTACATCACCTCTACATTGGCATGGCTGTATCAATGGACCAGCATCTTGTCTCTCGCTATCGTAACAGATCCAGCAATCCTTGCTGGTAATCGACGCTGTATCGGTGGAGAGAAACGCGGTATCTTGAGACGCGCCCTTTTCCTGCAGCTCAATTTCCTTTATGTGCTTCCCTTGATCCAGATCTAGTCTCTTCAATATGCGCTTCGGATTTAGAATCCACAATTGTTCCGGACTGAAACGGAAATGGCGAGAATGATGTTGCAGAAGGGCATATTACGCAAGACACTTTTATAAGACACAAAGTACGAAACGTACCTCATACAATTCCATAGAACACAAGGAAACCATAGTGCTACGCCAACCTCGATAACACGAAATACAACGTCATGCCAATTCCTGCTGTACAGCGGCACCCTAAAATAAGAATACGCATTAGGGAACATCCACAAGTTATTATAATTCGTGCTTGTCCCTCCGTTTCCTTACTTTGTCTTCCAAAATTCACTGAGGGTCTCGCTGAACAGGAAACCAACTACTATGAACAGCATAAACGCTTGCGAGAGCAATCCGAATCTCGACTGATGCAACTGGGACGTATTCACTTGTTGCATATGCACAGGCTCCGCAGTGGACGTGGATGGACCTGGTTCGAACAGTTTCGCCGTGACTTGATCCTCGGCGTGGACTTTTGTCGTATCAGCTACGCGTTTGTTCGTTGCGATGGAAGCAACGTGACATTCATTTAAGAATCCACCGCGAACCTGATGAAAAAATTCACAGGTCACTCTCTCGGCGCTGTATATAAATACTTCAGTAATAATATTACAATGCGAAAGAGGCATACTTTGAAAAAGACTTCCACTCCGTATATCAAGAAGAAGATCACTACGATGAACAGGAGCACTGCGTAGCAGCCGTTGAATACATGAGTATAAAAGCTCTGGGGAAGAAGACAAGGATTTTATCAACCAATTATTTTCAGCAAAAACTTGACGCGCGTGCAAATCATTAAAATATCGTCAAAGTCACTCAATTATATTTCTATCACTTACTTGATCTACTTGTGAATAGGTCTGGGCCGTGATAAACTCCGCCAACAAGAGGGAGTAGGTTATTATGTTGAAGACGACGAAGGCCAGGAAAGACTTTGACAAGAATTGAGGCTTGTCCCAGCGAATGTCTCTCAGATGAACCACCTCGGCCCAGAAGCAGACGATCAGCGACGACCCACTCAGGAGCAACGGATAATACGCCGACAGCAAACTCCTGGACCAACCCTCCTTGAAGGCGGTCTGCGGGGAAGATAAGAGCGTGCAGATTAAAAGCGTGCGACGGGCGGCGAGGATATACGTTTGGAGGGAACGCACGTAAAGGTGTTTACGTACCGGCGACGTGAAGTACGCTCCTCGTATGATCGACGCGAGGAAAACCACGAAGTAGAGCAGCTTTTGATTGGTGACCCGGCACGCTCGCAGGAAGGACGGGGCCTTCATGCGCTGCCACTCGGCGACGATGCACATGACGAGCTGTATCAGGCAGACGAAAGCCAGTAGGAAAAAAATGGACGCGAAGGCTATGTAGTAGCTCAGATTCGGGATATGGCACTCCGGCCCGTCGAACTGGATCTGAAACGTGGCGCGGGTTATCGTTTACGTTCGCCATTGTCCACGGGGGTCGCGACTCGGCGCGCTTGAACGTCATTACCTCACACAGGCAGGTCCCGTTGTGGCATTCCCCATGGCCGGAGCAGTTATCGTTCCCGCAGCTGTTGTTCCAGGCCATCATGCCGAATTTAACCAACAAGGACAACGGATTTTGCGTACTCAGCGCGATCACCTGTTCCATGATCGCTGGATGCAGAGCAACTGCTCCGGTACAGCCCTCTGGAAAACTCTGTTTTGAAATGTAAATCGCTTATCACTCAAGTGTTTTTCGCACCACACGCATGATTGATTATGCGGACGGCGGACAAAGATTCCCCGACACCTTTACAATTACGTGCAAATTTATGCGAGGTGGGGGATCGCTTCGGACGATCGCGTCGAGGGGGAGGACGATTGTGAAAATTTCGAGAGGCAAGACAAGCGTGTGCCTCGCGAACTCGCGCGACTCGACGACCGCCACGGCGAGTCGCGCGTCGCGCGCGGGGGGGGAATTCGCGCGACAATTGACGGGACGCGGTGGGAAAACAAATTACACCGTGTATCTCTCTCTCGCGCGCGCGCGACACGTAACTCGCGAAACAACAAAATACCTGGCGCCTCCGCCGCAGGAAAAATTCGACGCTACCGACTCCCCGTTCGCCTATTCTAGACTCGGGGCTCGAGCGACGCACGAGGCCAATTAGACGCGGGCGATGATGCACCGCTCTTCGGAGAAAACTAGCTCCGAGAGCGGGAAAGAAAAGTACCTTCTCCCCCCCTGCCTGTGCACTGACCGTTTGGCGGAGCCAGCGCGTCCACGGGCGTATGTAGGGCTCGCAGGTGCAAAGTGAGTACAGATGTACGCGGGCGAGGACGCGAGTCCCCAAGACCGTCACATCGGGTCAGCTGTCACCGTTCCGTCTGCGCAACGCGCGACGCCACCGTCCGCACGCCGAGGCCTCTACGCGTTGACCTCGATCGTCAGCGAGGAGTATCCGCGAGCCCGTGGAGTCATGTAGCGAGAGACGAGCAGTGCAGCAGCGGCCGCGCGCGCGACACACAATAGAGGAAACGCACCCCCTCGCACCGACCCCCGTAGAGGGTCCGCTCTACGACGAATTGCCGAGTGTGCCGAAACAATCGGCGCGATGACGCAAACGCGTCGCCCGCAACGGAGTTGCGTCCCGCCGGACTCGTCCAGATTCCGCCAATGGCGCGCGCGGAGTGCGCTCCTACCTTGTCTCTCCTCCCCTCTCTCACTCTCTCTCTCTTTCCTTCTCCGCGTCTCGTTGCTTTTCCGCGCTGTTTTCGTCTTCAGAGATAGGCTGATGGCAGACAACTATCCGTAAGCGCTTAAGACTGACGTAGTCGTGGACTTAAGGTAAGGCAGAGAAAAACGTAAGCCGTAAGGAACACGTGTTCCACGGCTTATGTTTTTCTCTGCCTTACCTTAAGTCCACGACTACGTCAGTCTTAAGCGCTTACGGATAGTTGTTTGCCATCAGCCATAGCAGATAACCGAATTGCGATTAGTTTAATCAGGAATTAACTTATCAAGTACATTGTTTTGCCAACGTGGATAGAAATGTTAATTTCTTGTTTAATATGCGGAGAAGAGGAGATTTATAGATCAGGGGCAGTGATATATGGCACAGTTTGTTTGGCTGCAATTTTTACAGTTAAATTAATTGTATGTTAATTAATGTACGACTGGGAGGAGCGCAGCAACTGACATTGCTGATTTACCTATTATGACTATAAGTTAGATCTTCTACGCGACTGTGATTAGTCAATTTCTTAAGCCTCGTTCATAGAAGTCGTAAAGTCGTAGCCGTAAAGTCGTAGTCGTAAAGTCGTAGCCGTAAAGTCGTAGTCGTAAAGTTGTAGCCGTAAAATCGTAGTCGTAAAGTCGTAGTCGTAAATCCTCGTCTACATAGAGGTCGTAAAGTCGTAGTCGTAAGAATAGTCGATTATGATTGGTCAATTCTTATGTGTCTGACGAAATTGACCAATCGCAGTCGATTATTCTTACGACTACGACTCTGCGACTCGCATTGTAAACCCCGCATAAGTAAGCTGTAAAGCCTCCGCTACAATGATTCTCGGTTCTGTCTACAATGGTCGTACAGTTGTATCGATGGTCGCTTGAGCAGTCGCAAAGTAAGAATTGACCAATCGCAGTCGATTATTCTTACGACTACGACTCTGCGACTCGCATTGTAGACAGAACCGAGAATCATTGTAGCGGAGGCTTAAGAATTGACCAATCGCAGTCGATTATTCTTACGACTACGACCATTGTAGACAGAACCGAGAATCATGAGGCTTGTTTTCTGTTCCTACACTAGTGAACTAGTGCAATAAATTGGAGTAAGACAAGCATATTTTTTCTCATTCTAGCTTACTGCACTAGTTCACCAGTGCAGGAACAGAAAACAAACCCATTGTAGCGGAGGCTTAAGTCCCAGTCTACAATAGAGATTTAAGCCCTAAGCCTTAAGAAATTGACTAATCACAGTCGCGCATTCTACTCATACTTGACCGTGATTGGTCAATTTCTTAAAGCTTAGGGCTTAAATCCTCTATTGTAGACTGGGACTTAGTCCCAGTCTACAATAGAGATTTAAGCCCTAAGCCTTAAGAAATTGACTAATCACAGTCGCATATTCTGCTCACACTTGACCGTGATTGGCCAATTTCTTAAAGCTTAGGGCTTAAATCATCTATTGTAGACTGGGACTAAAGAAATTGACCAATCACGGTCAAGTATGAGCGAAATTTTCCTCCGTGAAAATGGTCTCGGAATACTTTTAGATCCAAAAAGGAACCAAGAGAATAAACCAATCACATTGGACATCAAACGTCGTGATCGGATCCGGTGTGAATCCCCGCAGAAGGATTCGGTCGCGTTTTGAAAACAGGCTTGAGGCGCGCAACACCTGACGTTATTTTACATCGAGTATTGTGGCCGACGGTCGATATACGTAATTCGCACGAGATCCTTTAAACTCGACTGCGACAGGCACGAACGAGGTCGTCCAAGGCAAGATATATTCTCTCGGCAAAACTGCCCTTAGCCTGCGATCCGCGCGAGATCCAGCTCTCGCGAGGAACAATCCGCTAAGTATACGCTAATGAAACGTTATGTAATATATATATATCTCGTGCATCGTTAGACCACCGCATCGATTTGATCGTACGAACCTCTGTATTTTCGTTACGAATTTGTGACTGACACTTTTACGCTCCTGCGATTCTCGTTACTTTCGTTGTCCTCGAGGCTCGAGGGGCGTCCCTTACGAATTCGTATTAAAAAAAAAATACTGGACAACGATGCTCGAGTAACCTGTTTCGGGAAATTTCGGAGCATTGGTGTTTTTGACAGCTTCGCCGCAGACTTGAGATCTGCGTGTTGTCAATTATTTCGAGAGATCCGTTTGTCATTACACGCAGAACTGTTCGACTAGAAAGTTCCAATTAGCGGCACTCGCCCAGTGTCCGTCTCCACCAACGTGGATCAACTGGAATCTCGGTCCCTATTTACCACTTTATTTTCCAGTCGCTGCTATTTTCAGTGCCAAGAATTTTATCTCTAGTCTACAAGGCGTGCAGTAAGCTCGCAGTAAGGAGTTAGGAGTAAGGAAACAAATCAATTTTATTTCTTACTCTTGCTTCAGCTCTCACGCCTCTACTCTCGGCGAATCAGAATGCCATCGGCCAGTGTGAAGCGTCGTCTACAGTACGTGGATTAAGCTTGGGGCAAGGGGTAAGAGAGAAACTTTTTGGTATGAGAAAGCTAAAATACAGGAAGAATTTTTTAAATATTTGTAACACTGGCGGCGATGGCGTTCTGATTCGCCAAGAGTGAGCGCAAGAGCTGAAGTAGGAGCTTACTCCAGGCCTTACCCTATGCATTGCAGACAACGCGTTACAAGTACTTAAAAAAATCATGTCTACATTTTAGATTATGGTCCTTTCTCACCCCGTGCACCGTAGACGGCGCATAAGAAGTAGACTCGAGATTGAAATTGATCTACGTTGGCGGAGGGGGACTAGTTTTGGGTAGAGCTTCTAATGTTTTACTAACGACAGTTTTGCGGACGATTTCAGATGCCTGCGTTAGAGAAACCACAGCTGCGCAACCTCCACGTAACGCAAATCACGAAAAGCATCACAAAAGCGTTGGTACTTGGCTTCGTCTCGGCGGTGATGTTCAAGGTATTCGTTGCCGATAGGAGGAAACAGAAATACGCCGACTTCTACAAGTACGTCGCAGTTGTATCGAAGACACCGGCTGCCTATTTATTCCAATTCCGCCCCGACGGGCCAAACACAACGCCAGGCGACAGACAAGAGGAGCACGGAACCACAGACAATAGAAATAATCCAATTCCCTTACTAGAAACTGCGTATCGACGCACAACGGAATATGAAATAGGTTTATCACAAATGGAAAACTCTATTTCATATTTCTATTAGGCTGGCGATTCGTGATTCGTATAATCTTGAACAGCGCGGAAAAAAAGTTTGTCGATTCGCCATGCAATTCGTCATTCGCAGTGATTCGCTAGCCGAGCGGTTCTTTGACTAATTGTATTCCAAGGTGTTGTTAAGGCTTTCAACAAGAAAATACGTAAAAAGGAGAAAGAGTGCCAATGCGAGCCACAAAATGAACGGAACTCGGTTCTCGCGATATAGAATCAAAATTTCTCTTTAACAGCATAAACGTTTCGACCCTTCCTCGGGTCTTCCTCAGTAAAAAAAAACAATGAGACTAATTGTAGACTTGTGATAACGGGTAGAGGTTGAAAGTTGTCCAAGTTAACACGAGCGAAATGACAAGCTACAAATTACGAATGATAAAATGCGAATCGCGAATCAGTGTGGCAAGTAGCGACGAATGTTGAACGAATCTCTGCGAGTCACGAATCGCGCATAGCGTGGCGCTAGCTTTGCAAATAGAAACGCGAAATAGAATTTCCGACGAATTGGAAATCCCATTTCTACGGTCTGCTCCAGGTCTACTGTTATCGCCTGTTGCCTGGCGTTATAGACTTTATACCGCATCGCACGCGAAGCTCCTTCTCGAGGCGAGACGTGAACCTTTCATCTCTTGCAGGACCTACGACGCGGAGAAGCAGCTGAAGATCATGAACGACGCCGGTCTCATGCAGTCCTTCGTTCCCCCACAAAAGTAGACATGCAAGTAGCGAGCGGAAACCTGAGGGGACGAGAAAGGGATAAATTTTCCTCGGGATTTCTATATTATATATCCGTACATGTACAATAAATAAATTCAACATAGCGTTACGACGCGTGCCAAGTTTCTTGCCGACCGCGCGAGCCAATTCGCGCAATCCCGTTTCAGTTATTGTCCTTTTTTTTCGCATAGGACAATTATTAACGCCTAGATACACGATACGCTCGAGGATCGTCCCGCCCGTGGCGCGACTGGGCCCCGAATTCGTACCCTACGAGCCCGAGTACGCGGCGCGATACATATTCAGTATTCAAATTCGGCATTCAATTTAAATCGCAGGTTTGCAGTAGCCTTGACGGCCGCGGCGTTGTTTGTCCAAGCTCTCTCGAAGGGGCACGGGGCGATTCCGCGCGTTGGCGCGGCCGGGAACGGGCGTCGGCGCGCAGGCATCACTCCCGACGGCGAGAGGAACGCGGCGTGACGAGGCGAGGTGAGGCGGAGGCGAGGCTCGAGGCGATCGCGCGTCGTTATCGGGACGCGGCGATTGGAGGTTAGGGGACAAGCTGCGGACGGGAGCCTCTCTCGGCCGTAAGATCATCAGGGCAAGATGGCGCCTGTCGCGAGGAGTACCCAGCGTGCCCCGCGCGATTGATTTGCGCATGTCAGTTGGTCGCATTGCAAATGGCGGCACCTTGTTATTGTTCATGGCGTTTTATGACTTGTCTCTTTATATTAGCGATTATGTCGAGTTTTTTCGCGATCCCTGCCGCGCGCTGTGTGCCGAGTGTCAAGTAGGGCCCGCGCGGTGTGTTTTAGGTTAAGACCAGTGCCCGGGCGGTGTGCCTCCGTGCTGTGCGGACGCGTGAGATCCCCGGACAGTGTCGGAAAGAAATGGGGTAACGTTGAAATTTTCCCGTGCTCATACGGTATCGGATCGGCGCTGCGCGACGACCCGAGCGAGGCCCGCTGGCGGTGCCGCGCACGTCGCCGATCACCGCGGGGCTACGCGTACTCGCCCCGGCGGCGCGCCCGCCCCGCGGCGACGTCCACGTCGTCGGATCCTGGCCCTCTCGCGCGCGCGGGGGCGGGAAGGAGGGCGGGCGGACGGGCGGGCGGGGGGCGCGCGAGCGCGCGCGGAGGGAGGGGGGCGCCCCGGAGGAAAGAATAATTCCCGACTTTTGACGGTCTATCTTGAGCATGCTTGAGCCCACTTGGCGTACACCTCCCCCGACGGGGACAAAATGGTGGTCCCCCCGCGATACCCGACGGCCGCGGGTACGCCGTGCCACGGCGAAAATCATTACGGCGCGCGTTGGGACGCGCGTCCCGCGCCGCGTAGCCGCCGATCGCCCCGTGTCGACGCGCCCCGTCCGCGTTTCGCGCCCGGCCGAGGAAAAGGGAAAAAAAATGCGCCGCTCTATAACCTATTTCGCGGCTGTGCGCGCACGGGGGGCGCCCGTCGCGGGGCCCGCGCCGAGGGGGGGGGCCCTCTGGTCGCCTGTGCGCGACGAGGAGGACGGCGACGGGACACGGTTGCCTCCGGGGGGGAGCAGCCGTCCCCGCGGCCGCCGCCGCGGCGGCGGCGGCGGCGGCGGTGGCGGCGGTAGCGGCGGCGGCGGCGGGAGGGCCCGCCGACTCCGCCGCGGAATCGACTCCCCGCGGGAGTCGCCCGTGTCTCCCGGAAACCGCGCACGAATTATAACCTAGTAACGCCTAGCGGGCCTCACTTTTTGTTTATGCGCCCGTGCGCGCGTGTGCGCGCGTGCGTGTACACGCGACGCGTATGCGTGCGTGCGCGTGTGTTTTTGTCATTTTCTCTCGCCGTTCTCGCGCGACCAGCCGCCTATCGATTGTAGGGCGAATAATGCGGCTTTTACCCCGATCGACGGCACGCGCTTCTCTCTCTCGCCGTCCGGGTCGGATCCTCCCGAGCCCGGGGCCTTTTTTTTCCTCTCGCCCTTGCTTCCGCCCCCGCCCCCGCCACCGCGGAACCGCGACCGATACGAGATTAGTTGCACCGTGGAAAACTGTGAGATTGTGCGGATACACAGCGCACACATACATACACATTGGCCAGCATATGATCTGCCAGGGAATACCTTTTTTTTCCCCCCCCTGTCGTTTTCATCTCCTTGGCTCTGCTGTCATGTGCGTGTGTGAGGGGAGGGGGAGAAGGTTGAAAAAGGTTAGAGATTTCAAACTGTTTTTAACTTACCGCGCGCCTGGCGCACTCGACGTCTACGCTCGGCTAATTAGAATTTTCTACCTTCGTCGTGTCTTCGAGACACGAGGGTGACTTCGCCGGAGTGTGTATGTGTGTGTGCGCGCGCTCGCGCTCGCGCGCGCGCCCGCGCGCGCTCTGTTACAAAGGCACGATATGTTTAAACGCGTCGAGACCGAGAAAAATGTCCCACGTGTAAATCACTGTATTGTTGCCGCGCGGGTTGCCATATGTACCTCATTTACATGCGCGCGCGAGCCGCGGATCGTCGGACGATGTTTAATTTATTTGCGCGCGGGGCGCAACGCTGAGCGGCAACGCGCGGTCTAATTTCAATTCTCTAATTTGTCCGACAGTAAACAAGATTAGTAGCACCGGTGTGACTTGGGGCTGTCGGTGTACAACTGACACATCTCGTCATCACACACACACACACCCACATATTGGAGCAATACCCCGAGGCGTTTCTACACTCTCTGGGTAGTTATGTGATTTGTGGTTGGTACGTATTTTTATTTATATACATATATATTGTGTAAACATTATCCACGCGACTCCCGTAATTACGCCAGGCATGTACGAGACAGATGACGGACGACGGAGCAGCCTGTCGTCTTGTCAAACCCTTGTTAAACTGTTACCAAACTGGGTATCGCTGTGCACATTTTGGAGTGTAAATTCTTTATTGCAGAAGTCGCCAATTTCGGTGCTAAATTTTCTCTTTTGCAATTCTTTTTCAACTGTCGAGATTAAAAGATTTTACGCTAATGTGACAAGGGCATCTGAAATAATTTAAGGAAGACTGTAAAAAGTAACGTGGTTTCTTTCATTGTCGCCACGTCCACTACTACTGTAAGGACAGCTTTGCTTCTTGCCTGACGTTTATTGTTAAAATAATGTTTGTTGCAGTCATGGCGGCTGACAGTGATGGTGATTTGGTTGAGACGGTGGTAACCTGCGAGGGTGACCTCGAAGATCCAGAGTTTCCTCGAAAGTTCGGGACTATTGTTGACCATCTCAATACTTTGCTTTGCAAAGGTGAGGGTTCAATCGTCTATAATGGCCGATAATATTCGCCGGGTAATAATTATTAACAAGCGTTGTGCGACTTGCAGAGAAGGGAGATGGCGCTCTGAGAATAAATAAGATAGAACCATGGAATTCCGTCAGAGTAACATTCTCGATACCCAGAGAAGCTGCTCTGCGGCTTCGAGAGTTAGCGGCTCAGGGTTCTCCGACACTTACACAACTTGGCATACTCTCAGTACAAGTCGAAGGAGATCAGGTAATTGATAGACATCCGTTTGGACTTTCACAAATCGAAACGATATCTTGATGATAGCATTTTTTTGTGAATTCCACGTAGAAAGTAAAAAAACGATCGTTAACATCTGCGCATTTCTCGCAGGTAATATCCTTAAGGATAGCCAGTGGCTTCGGCGGAGACGCGCAGGAAATTGTGCTACATTCTGGAACTACGCAAGATGGCGGAGCAAAATCACAAGGAGATGCTACTAGTAATACAGCTGTTGCCGACAGTAATCCCTCGACGGCCCTGCCCGGTCCCAGCAACGCCGCCAGCATTTCGACGCTGCACAATGTTGCTCAGCTAATAACCGGTAAGCTCTCGCGGGGTTATGGAATAAGTTGATAAAGAAAGGGAGTGTATACGGCGAATTTAATTACGCAAATCACTGCTTTTCAGGAACATCGTCGGAGAAAGCTCCTCAGTTTCGTTCTCCGAATGTAGTCGCGCCCACGGACTGCGAACCTATTCCACCGTTTCTCGCCAAGTCGGCACAGTCCACGTCGGCGGGGAGTGCTGGCGCTTCCGGAAGTCAGCAAGTAATCAATCCCAGTGCATCGCCCAGGAACAACTACAACGGTCCTTTCCCATTTGCCAGTATGACGCACGCTGCCCAAGCAATACACAGCCGCGAATCGCAGTCCACAAGCATCAAGAATACGATGCAGTTCAAGCACCACGCGCAGCCGCCGCCCCCGTATCCATCTCAAGAAAATTTGGCGACAGTCACGGCACTGACGACCGGCCACACGACGACGCAGCCGGTCGGCGCCGTTGGACAATTGACGAATCAGTACAAGCCCATGACGATTGCTACAACATCTAGTCCGTCACCAAACAGCAGTGCCAATTTGGCAGGAAGTTCGAACAGTGGCGGAAATCAGGCCGTGTCCAGCCCGTTGCTCGTGAATCTCTTGAAAAATGACGCCAACTCGCACGCGAATAACGTCATACCTGGCCAGAAGATGTTACCGCCGGCTGTTATCGACAATCCCGGACTTACCAATCGCATGAGACCCACCAAGAAACCTACGGTTAGAAGGAAAGATCTCCCGTCGCCCAGCGAATCGCCGCCGAATTTGGATACCTTGAGAAGCGAAGACTTGGTCGCGGGAACGGCGACAACGTCGGTCGTTCCCGACATGTCGCAGACCACTACGCCTTCGGCGTTCGCTACTGTCAACGTCAATCAACCGTCGACGCTCCCGCCGCAGCAGCAACATACCGCTGTCAACGTGGTTGGCGCTGGCGCTGTGCAGAATATGATGCCACCGCAAGCGGTGCACCAAGTGCCGGCTGGTGGTCAGATCCAGCAGCAGCAGCAGCAGCAACAACAACAACAGCAGCAAGCGGCGGCTTTACACAATCAAGTACAAACGCAGCAAAAGTTTCCCATTAGGCAAGATGTGGCTAACAGAACTTCGCAGGTCCAATTGCAGAATCAACTCTCGGCCAGGCATCCGGTGAATGGACAGCAGATCAGAACATCAATGCAGCAACGGCAGTTGCTGATTCAACAGCAGCAGCAACAACAGCAACAACAACAGCTCCTTGCGCAACCGCAACAGATAAATCAACAGCAAATTGTCCCGCAACAAATCCCGGCGGCGCAGTCGACTCAACTGCAGCAGCAGAACGCAAACGCACCGTTGCAAACAGCGTCCCTCATCAATCAGTCGATGTTACAGCATCAGCAACAACTTCAGCAACAACTGATACAATATTCAGCGATAGGCTTAAACGTCTCGCAACACCGGCTAGGTTACTTAAATAGTCAACGTCAACAAACTCCGCCGCCTTACCCTAGGCAACCCGTACTGCAACAGACGCATTTAAATCAGCAGAATCAGGCTCTTGGTGTACAACAGCAGCTGCATCACAATCAGGTGAAGAACGTGAACGCGGATACTAGCGCGAGCACTGATTTTCGTTACGGGCAGAGCCAGAATATCCTTAGTAGAAATTATCCGTCTCCCGCAACGAGCAATGCTAATGGGACCACGTGGAACGCACAAAGCAATTCTATTCCACAAGGTGCTCAAGTCAACACCACACGTCTGTCAGTTTCGAATCAGGTTTCAGGTGCCTTTCCTCAATGTGGCTCTCGTATAAATAATTCTACTGCTAGCATTGCTCCGTCTGTCAACAAGACGGAGAAGACCTCCGAGTCTCCGAAACCGGAAGAGGAGGCCCCGGAGCCGGAGCCGGAGCCAGAGTACACCTCGACCGGGAAGCTACGGCAGTTTCTGATCAATCCTCTGACAGGACACTTGGAGCCAATGCCCAGTGAAAGTTCAGATTCAGAGCCGGAGAGTGCAGGGGGTAATCAGGACGATTTCTTTCCGTCCTTGAACGACCGATCGAATTCCATGTACTCGGACGACGACGCGGACAGCAATTTCTCAAGAAGAAACGACACGACGACCAACACGGATCAGTCCGATTCCGAGACGACGGCCAAGTCTACGGCCAGCGAGGGGAGCTTGAAGCACAGTAGGCTCAAGTCCAGCAGGGAGACCGCGCATAGCCCGATGCCGGGAGAGAAAATCAAACTGCGATTGAAATTGGAAAAATCGGAGCCGGTTACACCGGCTTATAAGGTTGACGTTTCTTTCGTCAACACGCCGCCCATGCGGAAAGCCGACAAGTCCGTGAATAAGATGTTTGCCGGCGGTGTCCCGAGCGCGGGGACCGGCGACGAACCGCTGCGAGTGCCTCCGTTACACATTTCTTTAAGAGGACGTAACGCTTCAGTAGTACAAAGAGAAAAAGTTAAGAAGTCGCTAAAGGAGAGCGAGGGTGATGCGATTAAGAGGAGGGGCAAATTGAAGAAGATGAAGGAATGCATCGATGGGAACAAGTTGTTGCAGAAGAAATCGTTGAACATGATTATCGGCACTTCGTCCGCATCGAAATTACCTTTGTCTACTTCCACGATAAACAATGCCATTTGCAAAGGCAATAACATATTGCAAGCCGCTGCAGCCAAATCCAATGCCTTAAAACAAGATGTACCGATGGACGCTGTGCGATTACAAACTGGTACCACCACTAAACCAAGTTCGAGTAAAAATAGCGACGTGGACGACATACCGTTGAACAGTAGAATACCGTCTCCTTCGAAGCACAAATCTGCGATCGCGAATCAATCTCTAAATACTCCGCAAACTTTAACCAAGACTCAAGTGGATCTCGACGCACCGAACCACATGCAGGAACATAAAATCGGAGGAGGTGAGAAATTCTGCTCGCAACTAGCCGCGCGAGTATCGTATATATTTGCTTAGTCGAGTGTGTACTTACGTATTTCTATTGCAGGTAAAACGAAGAGAAGGGATTCTAAGAAGAAGGCAGAATCCGGGGATGGTTTACATCGAGAACAAAATCTGCTGTCGGGAGGTCGAATTTTAGATAGTCAGGTGAAATGGAAGAAGATCAGCTACAAGGCCGATGCAACTAATACAATAAGAAAACCGGATTCACTTTTAACCGGAAGTGGCTTTAGTACAATCAAGAAAGTTGGCGAGATGCGAAGGACAAGCGACAGCGACATCAATAAGTCAGCCATTGAGAAAAGCAATTCATTGAGCAGCGTTGCTTCAAAATTAACGGAGCTTAATGGTGTGAAGAAGGACTTGATGACCCAAGACAAGAGAAGACGGTTGAGCTTGATGGATGAGAAAGATCTGCATTTAGGAGGTGAATATTCTTTCTTTTATCTATCGCAAATTATTATGTTATTTAGCTGTGTACATCGTGATATAATTCTCAATACGTCCGTTTGCAAAGTTACATTGCGAGTAATCAACTTTTGTACGTTACAGAATCTCCGAATACAGAAGTTACACATTTCAATAGTCAGAAGGCTTCTGAAAGTTGTACGAACGCGGTACCGAGTATAAAAGCAAACGCCAGTCTATCCTTCGAGAGTGATTCTGGATTAAAATCAACAAATTCGTCGGGCGTGCAGCAGGGCGACGCTAGAAATCCATCGAACAATCCCGAGACCAAGATACCTGTGCACGTGGAGACGACGACGAAGAATTCTCAACCACCTGTGGCCAGGATGCTCACCACTAAGAGTAAATCCGACATGGGGAATTATATCACTGTTAAGAGTCAGAACATAGGTCAGAAGCTGAAGAATCATATGATTGTCAAGAGCGAGGCGAATTGCGTCATAAACAGGCACAGCAAGACGGTCGAGCAGTTGAGCTTCAGCCACAAAAAGATAATTCAGAATCATGTGAAGCAGGTGGACAAACCGGCGGTGGAGAGCAAGCTGGACGGGGCGCCGCAAAGGATCAGCCTGCTGAAGACCACGCCCGGCTCGGTGATGGGCAACTCGATAGATCAAGTTGCCAGGTCGCAGAGCGTTGAGGTGCCCGCGAGCAAACCGACCCTGCCCATCGGCGAGATAAACGTGACCGAGGCGAAGGTGAAGCAGAAGCTGCTGGAGAGCACGGCAGTGCCGCCGATCGGGATTGGCGTCGACTCGGCGAACATGGAGAGAGTCGGTAGCGGCGGCGGTGGCGAGGATTCGGGCATCGAGTCGATGGACGCTCTTTCGGAGAAGTCGCCGAACCAGGGGGAGTCTCCGCTACACAGGCCTGCATCGGCGACCGAGTCGGTGACGCAGAGCGGCGCCAAGAGTGTAATACAGGGGGAGCCCTCTATCATCCCTCTATCAACCACCAATAAGAACGTGCCTTCCTCAACTAGTAGTAGTGATATGTGTTCAAATTCCCATTCGGAACTTGTCAAGTCCAGTGGCCCACAAAGATTAAGTCCTGTGTCCGTAACGAATTATTTTGAGAGTCAGTTGAATCGCAATATATCAAACTCCAGTGAGCACGACGCGAAGAACGTGTCCGGCGAGAAGTCGTCGTCGGCGGTTCCGACGAGAACTGGCGGTGGACACAGTGATTTGGTTGCTAGTTTAGACACAGCGAATAATGACAAAAGTACGCCCAGTCCCCTGGTGACGGGCACAGTGACTGTTGTGACAGCGTCTATAACCAGCAGTATCAATAGTGATAATAACTTATTGCAATGTGCACATCAGCAAGCAAAGGACTTGTCCGATAAGGACAGCTGTAGCGTTAAATTAGAGGGTACTGTTAACCAAAACGATCAGGGTAAGGCAAACTCTAAGCACGAGGAGTCGAGGGGAGCTGCGGAGAGCGCGTCTGAGGATAGCACGAAAGCGGTTGTAGAAAGTAACAGTGCAATTAGACTAAGTGACGAACCTCACGGACAGAATAATAATAATAATATTAATAATAATAATGGTGTGCCTATAATACAAAATCACGTTGCTTATAATAAAGTTGAAACTGTAAAGCTCGATAGTGAGGTCGCGAACAATGCTGACGGCCCGGCGACGGATAATTCTTGCTCGAACGGTGAGAGTTGCAATTCAGAAATCAAAGTAGAATCTAAAATTAACGTAAAGGTGGACGACACCAGGCAGATCGATCGGTTCGAGGTCTCGAAAGGCAGCAGCGTTCCGCCGCTGAACGCGACGTCGGTCAAGCTGGAGACGTGCGCCGCTGAACAGAACCAGAAGTACAACGTACAAAGCCACCAGCCAGTCACGCTCAAAGAGCCCTCTGTTAATCTTCAAAAGGTGACGGACGATTTGGTGAAGAAGATGGTTAACGATACGAGCGATCTGAGCGCGGGCATCCAGTCGCCCCTCGGCGAAGATCCGCAACCGATCAGGATCACGCCGCCCCTGTACACCTACTCGAATCCCGTGGTGCTGCAGCGGGACGAGACCCCGAGCCCGGCGGCGCAGAATCCCGAGGTGGACTCGAGCGACGTCGAGCACCTCAAGCGTAAACGCAGGCGGAAGCAGGAGCTCGAGGGTCGGCAGGACGTGATATGCATCGAGGACAACGATGAGGGCCACTTTGTCGACAGGTTCAACTCCAACAGCTCGGAGGAGAGTGGCAGGAAGCCGGCCAAGTCGTTGCTGGAGCAGCTGCTGATCGACATCCCGAACGACAGTAACGAGAAAAGATCGCTGAGGACCAGATCGCAGAAGTTGAACAGTCCGGATATCGCCAAGACTCCGAAGAGCAGCCCTCACGGTCCTAACAAGTTAGAGGAGCGCCGTAGTATATCGCCCTACGCGAAAGCAAGTCCAAAACTGGCAGTATCGAAACTGTCTCCTAACGCGACAATAAAAATAGGAAAACGGAAAAGGCAAGAGAGCGAGAGTTCCGTTGCGTCGAGCACAGCCGATGATCCACAGCCGAGACCAGGTAAACGGAAATGCTCAGAGAATGCTGCAGAACTTATTAAAGCTTGCATGGGTGTAGAAGAGACTGGTTCTATAAAGAAACAAGTACCTGGCAAGGAAGAGCAATCAAAGAAGGGGTTCAACATATTGGCAAAGGCTAAGAAAGGTGTTTATTTCACGCTACTATTTCTCTGTGTGTAGTAGTTGAGTCTCCTTTATATATATTTATATATGTATTTTACATTTCTCCTTTTTACCCGACATTTTTCTACATATACAGGCTGTTTAGCTATTAGCGCATCAAATATTAATGACATATTTTTTGACAAATTTCAAGTTGCATGAAATATTCTCTTCACGGCGAAAATTTTATGAATGACTCTCATCTTCCGAAATGTCACAACTCCAACTTCTTATTGTGTGTGTGCCTATTATGTGTGTATTCTCCCGCACAAACAGATACGTATCGTAGTATGAATATTGTAACGAGCGATCCTTCATCAAATTTTCGCTAAGGAAATCCCGAATTCATTAAGGAATGTTCTCATTGTCAGCTAATGCGGTAGGTGGACACCCTGTATATATTATAGACTTTGTATTGTAGCAAGTTGCAAGGACTGCCAAAAACAGAACTGTTTGTAAATTAGGGCGTGCCGACGATTCATTGGTATCGAGGAGCGATCGAGAAAATACGAGCTTACAATAATAGCCGTCAGCTATGGAAATGTAGTCATTTTAATTACTGAAATGTCTGGAGAACATTGATTAGTTCCAAATACTCGACACACAGCTACCTCTCAATCTCACTCTAGCAGTGCCTCTAATTCTAAATTTGCCTGTCTCTCTCTCTCTCACAGATTTGTCTGATTTATGATATTTGGGCCAGACATCATATGTGACATAAGCGTTTTTATATTTTTTTTAGGTCCCATTGTGGTAGAAGTAGATTCGTCTGATGACGAACCGTTGATTGAATCTGTAGGAAAAGCAAGAGTACGATTGTCAGACGAAACACCCGCTGCTTCCCCAAAGCCCAAAGATCAAAAGTAAGCAACACTTGAACGCATTTCTTTTAACGCGGTGGCCGATAAAAGTAAAAAAAAAAGAGAGAAAAAGTAACTAATCGCAGAGATTTGAGAGTTCCGCTACGTAAGATAAGCTTTTGTTTTAGAGCGAATTTAAGCGCAGCTGTTTCTGGCAGTCAAATTAATTCCAGTAATACATCAAATTTCAATGCCAGTAATAGAGTGCAAAGAGAGGGCCGTTTGTTAACCACCAAGCAACCGAGTATGGCAACTGTGATGACGGCGACGGCGACGGTGACGGCGACGACGACAGCGACGGCAACAGCGACGACGACGACGGCGGCGATAACAACGACGTTAACGACGACGACGGCGACGGCGACGTTGACGACGACGGTAACGACGACGCCGACGATCGCGACGATCACGACGACCGCGAGCGCGAGCGCGAACGCGACTACGGTGGCGGTGGCGACGGTGGCAACGGCAGCGGCGGCAGTTACTGTTGGAAAGGAGAGATTACGGGGCACTTCCGTATCCAGCAACGAGTCTGTGGGCGAAGTAACGACACGAAGGTCTGTACGGCAGAATACAGCTTCACCTCTAGCTACACCGGCGAGCAACACTAGGGGCGCGTCTAAATCCTCGGACGATGTCAACAGGAGGAAAACTCGTAGTGGTGCTGGTACGTAGTCTATTTCGCTCTTTGGAATAGCCTCGCCTAAAGGGTACTTGCGCACAATTTCTTAGATCTGCAATTGTCAAGTTTTCATCGATAAGGGCATGCTTTATTTATTCTCCTAGTATTATCGTTAACATGTAAGGTCTGTTTCACTCGAACTTGCAGTTTCTTTTATTCTCTCATTTGCGCCACTTTTGTCCCCCCCCCCCCTCCTCTCCCCTCTCTTTCTTCTTCCCAAGTTCTTGGCATGTCAGTATGTCAAAGTTCCAACGTTAATTATTGATGAGAGACATAGACGTTTTTTAATATTGTACGTTTTGTATACTGTTTTAATTGAGAACACCTCGTACAGCGGGAAAACATTGTTTTAGTAACGGCGGAGACGGCGGAGCAGGCGAAACGGAGGCGAATATCCCGAGAAAACAAATGACCTTCGGGAAGTGACCTTGACAGTGATTAGCTACCGCTCGTCAAGGCCTATCTGTCTGATTGTAAATCCGACATAAACGGGTATTTGATCGCCGTGTGGCTGGATCCCACCTGGTGAAACTGCGTCAAACTAGCGCACAACGTTGCTGTATATGTAACGGGAGTAATTGTATTAAAAAGAGACGCTGGACGGTGTGAAAGCATTTCATGTTGCAAACCATTCGTTGACCTACCATTAAATTAATTGTGCGTGAAAAGCTGACGTCTATTCAGATTTTCATGTCTTTCCTTGTCTCTTTTTCTTTCTTCGTCCGTTTCTTTTTCTCTACTAAGGCATAGATTTTAAGGTTCATTGTTGCAAGTTTGGAATAGCGCATTGTTTGAAAAGTTGGTTTTGTACGTTTAGTAAACTATTCATTATTATTTGTTACGACCTTAAATGTTTAAGAATAGCGCGTGCAAAGGACAAACTAAACGGTCTGGTTTGATAATCTTTTCACCGTCTAGCGTTCTCGTTTATGCTGTACTCCTGTAAACAGCAAAGTTTAGTTACTCAGATATGACTTGCTCAAATGCATCACACTACGATCTAAGTAACTGAACTAATCCAAAACTGCCGAGATATTGTATGTAACTTTCTTTTATCAGTCAAATGTTTCAGTGTACGTACTAAATTTCATTCTTGAATGTGCAATTTTCTAACAATTTCACTAGATATAACAGATGAAAATCTAGCTTTATAGAGATTTAAGAAAATTTAAGAGAGCAAATTATATTTATGTTTCGGAAAATCATCTCTCATATAATTCCTTTCGTTCATTGTATCAGTACAAAGTGCTAACGGTAAAAGAAAGTCCAAATTTTTAAGGCATTAAAAAAACGCGAATCCGATTGTACTGCCGTAAGTAAAAAAAAAGAAAAGCATTTACCGTGGACAAATTAATTAACTGGTGGAGCTTATATCGCTACTCTGACGACTTTGCTGATAGACTCTGTTTAGACAATGTCTCTGTTTGTGTATACATATTTATTTATTGTGTGTCATCTCTATTTGTTACGAAAGTTTTCTGTATATACATGTAGGTAAAGTGCACATATATATACATATATACATACATAAAATAACGATATATGAATTTTTCGCACGAATTAGTTTCTGCCATATGCTGTAAGCTCCACGCCAAGACACAAAGCAGTAACGCTTTCGTACTTATCTATGCGAAAGATGAAAATGTTTTTGAGACGTTTGTCTGATACTCGGACAATTATACCACAGCTACATCGTAAATACTGGGAATAATAAATTTACGCATGATTATAAGGACAATGATAAGCGTGAAAGCTCTTTTTTCACATTTGTAATTATATTCCAGAGACGAGTATATATTTTAATCAGCAATTTAGCTATTAAGTTCGTAATGACATTACTGTAATACTTTTGTTTTTCGGACTTAGCAAACATAGTCTTTCAGTAAGAGGTTCGTCCTGAGTTATATTAATATTGCGGAGGCCGGGATATATAGGACTTTTGAAAAAAAAGGATTTATTTTATTTATGAAACGTAAATACAGTGAACGTTGGAAGACATGCATGAATATGTGAAGATGATAAGAATAACTATTGTAAGAAAACTAATTAATACAAAAAAATGTTAATTTGATATAAGTAATATATGAATCAATATATTTTGTAAATAATTTCTTGTAAAGATGGACAAAAAGCATTATCCGTTGTATATATAGGACCTGTTTAAAATTTTTATTAAATTAGTAATAATTAAACTCGTGCAAGAAGTCGTAATTGTCATTAATTATTCTCTCGCGTTCATGTAATTAAGATACTAACTCTTCTTATACAAATTTAAAACCACATTGAATTATATGTGCATACTTATATACAAAATGTAAATCTATGTGATTTATATCGATTATTGTTTTCGTGAACAGATAATCTAGTTTTATATTGTATAAATATAACTTACACAGAGTTGAGAGTCTTTAAAGTTCTAGCTGAGCCTGCAGTAGTCATCACGTAGCACCGTTCAAATTTTTCATGAAAAATGTGCATTTCTTATCCAGTTCCGATAATAGACATCCTTCTTTTCACACGACAAATCAAATTTAGGATATTATTTAGCAAATAATGTTTCATGAATTATCAATAATTAATAATATATATACTTATATATATATATATTAATAATTTGTCAATAATCAATTATATTTATCTTAGCTACGTTCCTACAGACACCCTTTAATTTTCTGCAGATGTTATATGTGTGTTAAATGCTCTATAGATAACTTTCTGTGACACATCAATCCTTATACATACGTTCTTAGGGTATTTGTCTGCGAGATTGTGATTATGAATTATATCAATGTGTAATACACCGTTAAAAATTGTGTATTAAAATGTGATCGCGTAATCTTGTTTCTAAACGTAGATGATTTTGTATAAATCTTGGATTTCTCATCACAGACCAAGTAAACGTTTATTATATGATAAAAGAAAGATTGTCGTAACGATTGTTACACGCATAGAATGTACAAAGTACGATAAGCGCAATGCTCAACTACGTAGTGTGTGCATAAAAGAAAAATTCTCCGATACTTTTCCCAAAGGCTCGATGGCTACCAGGCGACACTTCTTTAATAGAAAATGCTTTTTCTCACGCTAAGGTTAAATACTGGATTTAATAATATTTAAAATAGGAAGGAATTTCACCGATCTATGCCCGGAAAATTAAGAGAGACACACAGACTGCTTCTTGGGCTGTAGCTTCGTTGAATTTGTTCCTATTTTCAATATCGATTTAAATTATTTAGTTAGAATATTGCTTGTTTATTAGAATTTATTTCTACCGTAGAAACAAGAGACACAATACACACATACACCACCACACGCATACACACTGGGTCATATATTGTATATAATAGTATGCTTATTTTACTTGGATGGGAAATTACACAACCTGATTGTACATAAAAGAAAATATGAAGAAAAATGGGTACAGGACTCGCGCGTTTGATTTCATCCGTATCCTACATTACGCAGATAGGATCGAGTGTAATATACATAATTTAATTGCAGAGTATACTGGAGTAATTGAAGGATTGTAATTTCGATGTAAAAAAAATATTCTCTTTCGCATTAGATAGATAGGCTAGGTATTATTATGTTACAATTTTATCATTGAATATTACATTTATATGATTGTATAGATTATAAAGTAAGAGCCCTTTTGTGTAAATACAAGTATCTTAAGTATAAGCGGACATTTTAGCGCGCTCGCATAATTAAGGAGCTTCTAAAGTATCTCTGCCGTATAATCGCATGTGTATGCGTGTAATGTAAAAGGAAGCGGAGTTAAATAATGCGCCAAAGATCGGAGACCGAGGCGACCGGTGGCAGGCGGGACTGTCGGCAGCCAGGCCGTTCAGCGAATTGAAGATGCGGGTGCACGTGTGAGAAGCTCAATAAGTAATCGGTGTTGATATTTCGTGGCTCGTATAAACGGTGTAAAGTCTTACCATCTTCACGCGCAATCTACAATAACTATGCCGATAAACAAATCATCTTTTACGTCTGTTTATATATACATATATACATATATATATATAAATACTATAGTCGCGCGCTTGACGAGCTCCTTAATTTTGTAGGCAGAGCCGCAAAAAGAATATTATATTATGTATATGGATGTGCGTTTTAAGATCACCAGATTGGGTATGTGGTTTGATGACTTTAAAACCTGCTATATGCAAAACATTTGTATTTTTAGTATTTGGTTATATGACATATATATATAAATAGCGGTATATAAAAGAAAAGGAAGTAAACGATTGATAATAATCCAAGCGGATGAATCTATATATATATATATAAGTATATATAAATATATATGTATGTATGTATATTTATATATATTTATATGAAATAAAGAATTAGATACCATATTATATTTGTAGAAACGATTGAGCACGTGAGAGATATCGCGCTATGATTATATGGAGAAAATATTACAATTATATTATTACCTATTATTACACAAAGTAAATACACAACATAGTAATTTGCTAATTGTATCTTTTAATAATTATTGTAGACACATTGATGAAGGTTTTTTTCTTGTTATTAATTATTAATTACCATAGACTTATAAGACAATGAAAAATGTGTTATAAAAAAAAAACAACGATGCGTTTGCTTGTTTTGTATTGCATTCTACCCATTTTCATCGAGCGAGTCGCCATACTTTTGAATTGTCCAACGCGAGCGGATTCACACGTAATTTTACATTCATTATTTTCATCTTTTGTTACAGCAACTCACTTGCGCAACGTTTGTTCAATCGACATTTCCACGAGATCTCTCGTTCTATCGAGAACAATTGCCGCGCAAAAGTTACACGATTCACTGCCTAGCTCTTGCATCGTTATTCGTCGTTTGCTAGGATCATCAGTCGATATAATAAGATATAACGTTTACTTTCTTACGCGACGTATATTTTTAATTACGATGTAATATTAGATATGTAACGCGTAATGTATAAAGAACACGAATAGAATTGATCTTTTCGATCTCACGCTTCATGTGAAAATTCGAGACACTGCAATTGTCCAGTCTGAATCTTCACTCGCACTCGGCATAATTCTGTTCTAATCTTTTTATGTTCATGTCGGCGTAAAGATCACCTTTTTTTTTTAAACGAACGCGAAGTTCCGTTGCCATTGCGCGAGGCGATGTTGCTTCAATTTATTTTTACTGCAAAAGCAGCGACGTCGCGCCGAGCCATGATTTTATACACATTGTAAAATTTAGTACTTTCATCATACTTGTAAAACTGATGACTCGGCGCCTGCGTTTTGCGGTAAGTGATGGAGCACGCGAGTCGTGCCGTCACTCCCGGACGACGACGTCCGATTGGAAGTGAGGAAGACGCTCCGAGATAAGATTTTTACGTCTCATGTATCATGTCTTTTTTTTTTCTTAGACCAAAGCAGAATTCTGCGAAGAATTGTCACGTAAGCACGCGTCGCGGAAATTATTCGCGCGGACCTGTTGACCCTTCAGATCAGTTGTTATCGAGGATAGATCCATTCCGCCTGTATTTTGCAATTCGACTGACGAAAACGACAATTATATTCGCACAATGCGTCGTTTTTTCCTCAAATCTAGGCGCTGAAGATGTATTTCGGTGTAGTAAATGACCGCAAGGAGGAAAGATTTGCGCGAGAGTAAAACTTTCGCACAGTCGGTTATACAATTGTCATATTACTACGCAATTGTCTTCTCGATTGTCATATAATTTTGTGACAAAAGTTCGTTCCTATCGCAGCTTCCAGCGTATCGGCTCAGCGAACGAAGTCTCTTCGCAGGCGACGCAAAGTTGCCGAATGTAACGAAACAGCTGTGAAGTGAGTTTTTGTGGTATCGCAGCCGAATGAAAAGAATCTCGCTACAGCAAGGTTGCTACTCTCCGGCTCCTCCCGTGGAGCTTTCTGGACGGAGCATAAGGTATATAACATATGTTACGTATGTATGTACTCTTTATCATAGGAGCCAGTCGACGAGGAGTGTGAAATCTGAGACGTGAGGGAAATCGAGCTGCAGCTGGATGCGGCTATTGATTGGTTGAAAATTTAACATGACGATTATTGGCAATCTAGGTGCGTCATGCGTGGTCTACAATGCGAGTCGTAGTCGTAAAAATAATTGACTGCGATTGGTCAATTTCGTCAGACACATAAGAATTGACCAATCATAAGGCCTGTTCTTTATTACTGCACTACTGAACTAGTGCAATAAGTTAAAATGAAACAAATAGATTACCCATTGAACTATAACCATACTGGAAGGAGCACTGCCTACCCCCTCCATAGGATCGAGCGGTCAGAGAGAGATAGTCGAGTGGGAATGGAGCTATTCTTGTCTAACTAACTACAGCGAGGATCGCTGTAGTTAGTTAGACAAGAATAGCTCCATTCCCACTCGACTATCTCTCTCGCACAACTCTGACCGCACGACAACAATGGAGTGCTCCTTCCAGTATGGTTATAATATAGTTCAATGAGATTACCTCTCATTCCAACTTATTGCACCAGTGTGCACTAGTTCAGGAGTGCAGCAATAAAAAACAGACCCATAGTCGACTATTCTTACGACTACGACTTCACGACTTCTATGTAGACGAGGCTAAAGCGTCGTCTACAATAACCGGCGTAAGCGTGGAGTAAGAAGAAGTAAGAAAACCTAACCTTTACCTTTCAGTGTAAAAGCTAAAGAATAGACATAATTTTTTTAAATAATAAATAAAGAAAAGAAGGCTCAGTAAT